AGACAGTAGACCATCAGATAAGTGGTCCGCGGAGAAGTTTGAGAAACAGAAAGAATACGAAATTTTTTGTCAGCAACCATCAATTCTTTCATGGTCGCGCTGGTATGAGAACAGACTGTTCAAAAAGTCATACAAGTGAACTGGTGAAGGCACCAAACAAAAAAAGGTGGATGTGAATTCTAGAACTGTTTTGTGTCTGAGGAAGATGATGTAGACACATTTGATATGTGAAATAGGGATAACGGTCAATCTTATACGAATGTGACGACATTGACAGTGAGTGGAACAATTTTTTTTTTTTTTTTTACGGTGGTGCGATTGACTTTGAAGGACTGCACCTGCCAGGCGTTGTTTGTGGTTGATAACACACAAAAAAAGGCAGGGGTGGATGTAACTAGGGGAAGTTACCAGAGATATAAGAACGCAGTACAGCGCTGTCAACTTTGACACGACTGATGTAATAACGCAGGTGTTGGCTGATAACGATCAGAAAGCCAAGGCGTAGTATCTTGGGAAGCGATACGATAAGAACGCAATACGGTCTGTCAACTTTGATGTGACAGGATGCAGATGGCTTATTAAATCGGACTGTACGACAGAAGCGGCGTAATTAACATTCTGATGCAACGATTAGAATCGATTACGATTACGATTATGATAGAACCGAATACGATTACGAATACGAAGGGGATATATAGGAAGGCGACGGCTGAGCTCGCTGTCTCTCTCTCTCGATCAGTCAGTCAGTGTGGCAGTATCAAGTTGGTTATTGAACGGGTTAGCCGTATTGTGTTAAGAAGGACGATAGACATGTGCATTCAGTTATGTGAAGACTAGTGAGGACTGTTGGGGGTCAGTTGATTCAGACTATTATTGTGAAGCATTCCTTTTGATTCATTATATTATTGTGAAGCATTTCTTTGATTCATGTAATAAAAGGATCAATAGCGAACCTGCATCTTCGAGTATCTATACTGTGGTCGATGTTGTGTAGAATGAGTGGTTAGACTCGGTAACATTTGGCGTTGTCGAGCAGAACTCGTTAACATTTGGCACTACAGGCAAATAGTCTCGTTACATTTATATATATATATATATATATATGTTACCGAGTCTATTTGCTTGTAGTGCCAAATGTTACCGATTTCACTGCTGACAGAGCCAAATGTTACCGAGTGTATTTACTTGTGCTACCTTTTACCAGCACACAACATCGACCACAATATAGATACTCGGAAATGCAGGTTTACATTGATCTCTTTATTACATGAATCAATAGAAATGCTCCACATAACAATGCACCAATGTTCCACAAAAATACAATGAACCAACTGACCCCCACTGTCCTCACTAGTCCTAACATAACAGAATGCACGTGTCCATCGTTCCTATTCTCACGAATCACACACGTCTACACCGTTCAGTAACCAACTGGGTTCTGCCTCTCTCTACCAGTCGCCTTCCCATCATCCCCTCGTATACGTAATCATTACCATTTGTTGCATCAGAACTATTAACTGCGCAGCGGCCTGGTGTTCGTTATCAGTCCTGCAACTGTTGCATCAGACTGTAATACGTTCTTACAATAGTATGGTAACTACCCTAGTTACACATATATATATATATATATATATATATATATATATATATATATATATATATATATATATATATATATATATATATATTTATTTATTTATTTATTTATATTACTTGTGCTGAAGTAAGGAACGGGGGATAGGATGGGTCATCCCGGGTTGCACTGTATTCCGGAATAAATGTATAAATGGTACATTAAAAACGAAAATCCTCCCTTACAAATGTGTATTAACTAGCGGCGAAATTAATACTTCGCAGATGTGTAACTGGATGTATTATTTTTATCATTCAGACATCATGACATGCAGCATACTGTTGCCGACACCCTTACACACGTTAACAGCTAATTTCCTCAAAGAAACTCATTCTCGGTGCGCAACTCTATTTTCATATAGACAAATAAGCGTATTTCTTTACGGCTCTCAATGCGCACCTTCACAAATGGCATGACTCCATGTGGCAATTTTCTCTCTTAGATTTGCAGTGACGTCACATGTGTGCTGATTAAAATGTGACCAGCCTAGGTACAAATAGAGGCCATCTTCATTACAGCTAGGGGGGAATTGTAAGTAACGTATTGGTTGTTTACTTAATACGTATTTTTGTTTGACCGAAATCAAGTTTCAATTCAAAGGGCTCACCTTTAAACAAAAGTATTTCGATTCTAGATTAGTGACTCCATTGAGGGATTCAAAAGACGTAACTGAAAATGATGGGTGCGAATACTTCAATACATTATTCGTGAATGTTGTAGTACAATTCAAAGCTTTGTTTAGATTATGGGATATAAATGTGCACTTACAGCAGTGGCGTCATGCAGTGGTGACACCCAGTGCGGTATCTGTTGTCATCCCCCCTCCATCAATGACTACAATAAATGATCTAGGGCCTACGAAAAAAGCAATTTGGTGTCACCCCATCCCAGATGGTTTCACCGTGTGCCTGATGCATATAAATTGTAAAAAATGAGTTACTAAGCTCAACTGGGAAATGTAGCTTTCCTAATTAAAATTATCTATATATAGTTTTGGTGTCAGCCCCTTAGAATTAGAACTAGATGGTGTCACCCAGCGAGGACGTACCCACGCTTCCGCCTTACAGAAACAATTAAGAGGGTGAAGCCGACACCCTACACTTATTTACTTTACTTGATAGCACTTGTTGATTATTTATAATAATATTTACATAATTGACAAACAACGATGCTTTTACCCATAAACTTAGGCCATCTACCCAAAATGATAAGTTGGCTAAATAGACAGCGTTAAATCGTAATACTTTTGAGCAGTGGCGTAGCGAGGGGGGGGGTGCGGACCGCACCGGGTGACACTATTTAGGGGGTGACACCAAGGCAAAAAAATAGCATAATATATAGAGAGAAATGATAATTCCACTTAATTAAGTGATTAATTCGAGTGTTAAATAGTCTTTTAAGAGCAAATTTGACAAATCCTGACAAGGGTGGAGAGGGGTGCAAATCGAAAGTTGGATTGGGGGGGGGGTGCAAATCGAAAATTGTAAGGTTGATCCAGATAGCGTGCCAAATTGAAAATTTGTCCCCGGGCGCCTCTGGGAGGGGGACACCATTAAAGTGCCGCACCGGGTGAAACCCGACCTCGCTACGCCACTGCTTTTGAGTAGGGGCCTACATCCTGTCACTAGTAGAATTCTATACAAAATATTTACTTTTACCAGTGTTCGTCCGTCCGTCGTCCCCGTTCCCCCCCCCCCCCCCTCGGAGAAAAATCTTTGAATAACAGATAAATCATTGAATCGCTTTAAACATTTTTTAGTCTAAATCTAATCAAGATGACAGAACTATTGCAAGAAAGTTGAAGCTGACGTCTATATTCTAACAAGAGACGCTGAAAGTGAATTATCAGCTTGACATAGTTCATGTACAAACTGTTAGTAGAAGAAGAACAACAACAAGCACGGGTCAGAGGTGACAGTAAAGTGCCAAAGCAAACTATTGATTTAATTGATTTGTCCCAATCGATTTTAAAGACCTTGTCAATAAAAAATTCTGTTCGCCGATGTCATTAGGTTGCAGAGTTGTAGCCTAGCCATAGCCGCTCTGTCATTAACTTCATGTACGTTTTATAGACAAGATTGCACACAAAAAGTTTGCCCACTTGAATATACACATTTTTGTGTGTGTAAAAAACACGAATAAGTTAATGAGATAAATGTTGAGATTGTAAAATTATTTTTTTACTTAAGCCTCCCACCTTTTAACGTGTGTGCGTGTGAAATTTTTTTTTTCGGTAGTGAAAAAATACAGCATGCAATGTCATATTATTTCTTAACCACGACTCGTCACGAATCAGAAATCCGGGCCCGTATTATAGTTTTATATAGTGAGTGACATTTATTGACGACAATAAATAGCCCAGGGGTCGTGATTCTTTTTAAACGATTTCCATGTGGAAATAGAGAGGTGTGGTTGCGTCTCTGTGGTCCACACGGGTCCACAGGAATGATGTACCACTCCTCCCCCATCGTCACAAAAGGCAGACCCCCCCCCCCCCCTCAACACTAAATTTGCTATTTACAAGCGACTTTTTGTTTCCTGAAAGGCACACCGAGTCATCATTACGTAAAATCAAACCTTTTTACTACAATTTACATGAATATTTTTTTTTCAAACTTGAAATGCTATTTTAACTTGGGCCCACACCCCTCCTATGAGTAAAGTCAGAAATGTAGCATTGTTAGCATACTCTAAATCGGCCCACTTCATCTCCAGAGTTTCTTCCAGGCATCTTTTCGAATAAAATCTACCACACCCCCCCCCCCCCCCCGAACGAGATGGAATTTATATAGCAAACATATACTTTTACGAGTGTCCGCCCCCCCCCCCCCCGGAAAATGTTGACAGTTACCCCCCCCCCCCGAAAATATCAAGTGCCCCCCCCCCCCCCCACAGAAAAAAGTCTGGAAGAAACACTGTTCATCTCGCAAGAAGTTTAGTAGTTTGGGTTGTTGCATTTGCTACGAACAGAGCTTTGTCCTACGTTATCTGTGAAAACAGTCACGTAAAACACTAGAAATGGGGGGGGGGGGGGGGGAGCGAGAAGGGTAGGCTCTGTATAATTATTAACAGAAAAGTTAGAGAATGGGAATAATTTCTTTTTCCGACATCCGTATCTTATGCATAGAGACATGTGTTTCTGATAGGGCACTATTATCGTCGAAATATTGTGAGAATTTTATTCATAACCACCAATTTCCCTTCCACCGTACAGTGTGTCACTCCTATTAATATATTTCTTAAAAATGTTTTGTAAACATTATTTAACCAATGGCCCATGAAGGTCAAGGTCTTAGTCATCTGAGATGAGAATGCGCAAATTGATTTGGCGATATGCATAGTGTAGGTGGTGCAGTATCGAAATAGATCTAATTGTTCTTTTCATGTGGTGTTTTTTCTCGCTTTCTATTTTGGATTCAAGTTTATTATTTAACAGTATTTCGTTAACATGTTAAAATAAATGACTAGCCTCCATCTAGATCTAAATCTAGATCTAGATAGTTACTAGGCCTATTGCTCTATTTTCAACACTTCAACCAGTTATTGATCTCCTTATATAAAGAGCGCTAACGCCCGGATGTTTGTAAACAACAAAATAAAATAGCGTTCTAAAAATAGCACAGATTAGTACACTAACTAGTCAGTGTTTATTACAACTGAAATATTTCGGAATAAAGTAATCATAGACTTCATTCACTTTATTATTGTTACGTTACCCATATCTACAGTTGTTGTAACACATGTTGTTAGATTGTATCAGTGTTGATCTAGATCTAGATTCTCGAGATCTAGACTAGTGACTGGTCCAGATCTGGAAATCAGAAAGAAATATTTTTTTATTTACTCAACTTTACTAGATTCTTGATCTAGATCTAGAACTCTAGTTTAAAATTAATTTAATAATTTTGCACATTGAGTGACACTGTTTTGTACAAAACAAAATGTACAAGAAGGATTCTGATTCAGCTGTAAAATCGAGACTAGTATATTACTAGAAGTAAAGTAAAGATCTAGTACTTACTGTACTAGATTCCAGATCTAATCTAGAACTTGAAGACTTAAGAATTAAGATCTAATTCTAGATCTAGTAAGCCTAGTTATAGTTTAGTTAATAGTTATTATTAATTAATATTATTATAGTCTTACTTACTTAGATTAGTAGTTACTAGTTAGTTAGTTAGTTAGGGTATTCTATTGTTTTAGGTACGTAAAATCGCCAGCGGCTAGTAATGTACGAAAAAGTTACCTCATTGTCAAAGCTTTAAAATTAATAGTATAGGCCTAGATATATATTGTGATATATTTGTGTCAAATATTATAGATAAATGAATAATAAACCTAAATCAATGGCAAAATATATCAATATAGGCAAGAAATTAACTTTAAACAGCAGTGTTTGCGAGCAGGATTTGCTATATAAAAAGCGGCCATCTGTAGTTAGAGTGGCTTCCCCTGAATCTCGCGCTATAATTTTATTAAAAAACAACTTCAACAAGATGGCTGCTATAGTAAATGTGCGATGTTGCATCTGTTTTTGTATTTTTTAAAACATAAATTATAGTATTACTATTAGTCACTAATTAGTAATTAATACTAATTAACTCTAGTAGTCTAGATCAGCAGAAATAGTAGATTTCTAGAGATCTATCATCAGATATCAAGGATTCTAAAATTCTGAAACCAAAACAGAGTAAGACTGAGTAACACAAACACTGACTGAGAGAGTGAGACAACCCTGCTAGTAGTAGCAGACTAGTAGGGATGTCTAACTAATGGATGGAGGTTCGATTACTGTACTGTACTCCGGCGTGTACTGTGACTGTAGAATAATAATGCAGGTTCAGTGTAAAAGTCACTCACACCATAGAAGTATTAGTATTATTCGTAACCTCAGGTGGAACTGTCTCAGCTCAGACAGAGTTTGTATGTAGTACTGTGAGTATGTAACTTGCATTTTTTAGTCATTTAAAGAATATACTAATCATCATCTTTTCCCGTTCGTGCCCAAGACGCTTGGGGCAGATGAAGTTTTTAGTATAGTACATCAATTTAAATTACTGGATGAGTCATGGTAAAATGCGAGACGCAATACTTGAAATGGCAAGGGGGTAAAATGCCAGAAGAAAATGTGAAATACACTTGCAAAATTATGGGTAAAACTTTTTGTTTTTTACCAGATGTGCGAGAAGAAAAGTTTTCAACTAGACAATTAGGGCCTATAGATCAATCACAAGTGTTTGTTGTTTCTTTTTAAAATCTAGGTATAGATTTTTTATTTTGAGAAATATACCCATTTTAAATGTAATTACTCATATTATCGCTCGCTGGCCTGCGGGAGAAAATTCCTGACTAGGTCTAGGGGTCGCTGTGATCACATTGGTTTAGAAATAAGTAGGCCTATAGTATACAATGATATCATGAACAATTGCTAAGATGATGAGTGATGTCACATTAATTTTCCCCCAAACCAAGTAATAAAAAAAAACCGGGTTTATAGTGAGTTCACACAAGCTTGTAGGCCTTCTACCATGCAGGAGAGATTAGCATTAAAGAAACTGGGCTCGGGAGATGTAGCCTACATTTCTTTTATAGATTGGCAACATTATCATTAAGCTTTCTTTTTGTGAAAATATTAAATTTTTAATGTGGAGGCCTAATTGAAAAATTTCAGGCCAATATGAAATAAAATAACATTTAAATGAACATTAGAAGAGAAAAATTTTAAAAAGTAGGTGTACATTTTTAAATACAGAAACATATTTTAAATGCAGTGTTTCAAGCTGTTTCGAACTAGAATTCAGGTGGTATTCAAAGCTGGCACAATATTAATAAGTTGTTCACTCATCGATAAATTTCATGTGGTAAAAATTGGAGCTTCATAATCATATTCATAGGACTTAAAATAAATCTACGTTTGGGCTGGTGTGGTTACATTATTATATTCATTATAACAATATTAAAGTCTTCATGAAAGTTCATTAAATCATTGGTCTATTGGAATTCAGGTACGGTCAATTTACCCCCACCAAGCCTACCAATTGGGTTGGGTAAACTGTGAGACGAAAGTATCATGTGACAGGCAGTTTCGCATTTTTCTGCCTCACCGTTTTGTGTCTTACATTTAGCAAGACCTCACTATGACATGTGAACTGATAGTGGTCAAGGTTATGCCCAGCTGCCTGAGTTTCCCTATTGTCAGTCAATTACTAATCAGAGCTGGGTTAACACGGGGACGTCATACTGACTCCGACCTATGATTCAAACTAGAGACTTTTGGGTTAGCAGTTGTAAGCTTTATTATATGACCAAGCAAAGTGTAATATTAGTATATTAATAGCACTATTATATTATTAGTAATACTACTGCAAAGATTGTTTTGAACATGTATTTGGTTGTTTTATTATTACAGTTTTTAAAATACTAATACAATACTAATTATTATATTGGCCTGCTAATAATTCTAGTTGAAGGATCTTCATTAATAAAAATGCACAAGTTGTAGAATTAAAATCTGTGGTTAGTAGCTACTATTATCCCAGTGCCTAATATAGCAGGTCTGTATACATTTAGTATAACAAAGGGTGGATTTTCTATTTCTTTTTTTTAATTATTTTGTTTGCAAACCTAAACAGGAAAAATATATTGTCAGCATAATACAGTATATATTATCATGCATTTATTTCTGCTGGTATTTCTGTATGAATCATGGGCAATGTGCCAAGTGCTCTTTCTTAAAGTTAAAATGTTTTAAAGATGATTTCTATTAAAAGTTATCTTGAAAAGCTAATTTCTTTTGCACATTTTTAGGGTTTCTTTTTTTCTATATGTTGACTATACAATTTGTTATTAAAAATAGCTTTACATTAAATTATTCTTTTTTTTTTTAAATTTGTCAATTTCTACTTCAAGATAACTCTGCCTACCATCATCTAGATATAAATTACTTAAATAAAAAACAAACAAAAAAATATTGAGAGCAAACTAAAACTTGTCAGTGGCTGGTGAATCAATAGGCTTTAAAATCAGGTAGGTGGAATTTTTCTATACTAAAATTTTATATGTTAAATATAACATCTAAATTCTTACCTATACAACACACATTCAACTTACATACCACCTGTACTATTTAATGGCTGTGCTTATGTTTAATTATTAAAAATAAAAAAGCAACAGCTCAGCATGTAATTAAATTAAGGTATTTATAAGTATAAATTTGTTGGTCAGTAGTAGACCATTGCGTACAATTAAGAAAACAAGAGGTTATGAACTGTGTGGCCATAGTATTCATTAGATGCACAGAAAATAATTATTTAAAAATTACAGCGACTTTTACAACACATCTTTTGCTTTAGGCTAAATGTTTCTGGACTATAGCATTTACCTAATTGATAACAAAAGAATAAGTTGGAATCAGGCACATTTGATCAGAAGACTGACTTATCACTGAATTGTATATCCCATAGTTAGTAGGCTACAGACATAAAATCCAAGCAGCTTTCATCTGTGAATGATGCTAGCAATGCTATACTTTTGAAAATTAATAGTGATCAGTCTTTTTAAAACAGCAAATAAGGTCATGATGTTTTTGTTAATGACACATTTGTTTCTTTTAGATTATCCAAAAACTGCAGTATCTAAACATAAAAAAACAACTGGATCCAAATTGTCATTGAAAAAGGAACTAATCAACACAACTAGTTTGTGTTTAAAGGTAATAATCGTATTAAAACTAAATAGCATTTAAGAATAAAAATAAGTATAATTTTATTTTTTAATTGAATTTATACACAGCCTGTGTTTTAAAAATGTAAATGTAGAATTTCTTATCAACTATTGTGATAGAGAAAGCTAAAAGAGTTGTCTGTCTGTGCTGTGTTTACAAACACAGCTGTTTATATCAATATCCAGCCATCTGTTTCTGCCTGGCTGTACTGATAAGATTTTCTAAGTCACACATTGCATTGCGCAGTTGTTTTCATCATATACACAAGGTCAATAAGATCATACATTAAAGTAAAAACTAATTAACATTCTTTTATAATATTGTAAGTTAGTTTGTTTTGTATTTTTAAAAATGTAGGACTCTTTCATTTAAGAATTCATTTTGACAAAACTATTGATCTTTGACATAAATTTGATCTTTTTTTTATAAATGATCATAATAACTTTAAAACCTTGGCCTTGATTAGTTTATATGACTTTATCACTATATTTAAGTACTTTAAAAACTTAAACAAGAATAATAACTCCTCCAGAATTTATTCAGGTCTGTTTGACCTGTTAGTTCACTCAACATTTTAAACTATGACTATGGCAATTGCTGTGAAAGCTTAAAGAAAATGACATTTTATGCTTCTCTAAATGAAAATCTAGTGCGTTGGGGTTATGTTTAAATTGTCTTCAATTAAAAATGTTGTACAGTTTGTATTGTGAATTGTGTCATTGTAACAGATATTTCTATTTTAAATGAATTAGTTGTTTTTTTAAAAATAAAAATGTCTGTTTTTAAAGTGTGCAGTTGGATGCAACAATCATGGGGTATATGTATGTTGAGAAACATTCAGATACTTATCTTCGTCTTCTTAGAGAACCCAGTTTTCTCTCCAAAGCTGTGTTTGTAGGTAAGACTCCATTTTGTATCTTATATGTAATGTATCCGTTTTAAAGATTAATCTTTTGCTTGGTCTTATAAAGGATGATTCTTCGTTTCAGGATTCTTTGTTGGTATCATTGGCATTTTCCTCTTTGGGTCTGGTAAGTATTTTTGAAAATTTCTACAATGTTACTAAAAATTTCAAAATGTAGTACACAAGTTACTTTTGAAAATAATTTTAAAACATTTTTCACTCTGCTTTAAATTTTTCCAAACCAGAGTCACTTATCTTCAAAGTGCTTATAGGGTTGTGTGCAGTTTGTCTAAGCTACTGTATTGTTGATAACTATGAGGTTTGTGTTAATTTAATCTAACATGCTTACTTTCAAATATAAACTAATTTAATACTTTTTATTGCAACTTTAAAAAATTTAATGTTTCATATTTAGATTATAAAAATAATTTCTAATGTTCTGTTCTAGATTTGTGAGTTTGATAAAACTGAAGCTGAGGTTAGAATGACTCGCCTACACTGGTGTCATTATATGCTGATCAAACTTTTCTATTTGGAAACTCCACCCTATGGTAAGTATCGTGAAAACACAAAATATCTTCTACTTACATATTAAACAGAAGAAGTTGTTTTTTTTAAACTTTAAATTAAGTTTTAAAAAAACAGGAAGGTTTTTTTTTTTTAAATCTTTAAATTAAGTTTTTAAAAAAACAGGAAGGTTTTTTTTTTTTAAATTTAGTTTTTACTTTCAGTGAAAGCAAGGTTGGAGGATGTAAGAGATGTTCGTGTAGAGGAACAAGGGGGCCCTAGTGGAGGCAAAGCTTACCAAGTCATTCTCTCCCTTGAAACTGGAATACAGCTTGGCGTTACAGAAGTTTTTACAACGGATGATATCAGGTCAGATTTTTTCTTAGCATTGGGCTGAGATTAAACTATTGAAAGCATAGAGATCACTGCCCTGAAGCAGTAAACCATAATATAATCCCCCTGTAAATTAGCCATAAATGTTGCATTTTAAATTATCACTCTTGTTGTGGGTAGGTTAGTTTGTCATAATTTAAGTAAAACTGGGCTGTGCTAGTATTGGCTTATGAGTTCCTGTGACCAGCAATTGTTTAATCAGTGTTTCTTCCAGACTTTTTTCTGCTTGGGGGGGGGGGGGGGACGACACCGTTAAAAGTATATATTTTCTATATAAATTTCATTTCGTTCAGGGGCAGTAGAGTTTCTTTGGGGGGGGGGGGCGTGGCTCTGCCCCCTCCCCCGAAGAGATGCCTGGAAGAAACTCTGTGTTTAATGAACAACTGACAACAATATTTTAAAAAGACTAATAACAATTACTAATATACCTTTTTTTAAGTGATATCTACGCACATTAAGAATTAAATGTTGAATATTTAAATATTTATTGAACAATTTAATTTGCTCCAAAAGTTTTTAAAAAAAAATTTCTTTGCACTTTTATTTTGTCACCCTTTTGCTGTCCACTTATAAAAAGTTATATGCTCATAATCTAGAATGATTATGTTATTTTTATGTACATTGGATATTTGGGTGAGTTGCAAAAAGTTTCAGATTCAATCTCAGACTTATCCAATGCAAATACATTGATCTACCAAGCTCTTATGGAAATCTGATTTAAGTAAGAGTTAATAAAGGTATTACAGTTTAGTGTGCTTTCATTTGCCCTATACACCTACATATGTAAATGTGATTATCTTAAATAACCCCACTCTGTATTATCACTTTTCTATCAAAAATTTCTCTATGTGATTGGACAAAATGTTTAAGGAAGTTTTGTATTGATTAATTCACAGCGAGCATGAAAAGATTGCAAACCTTATTCGTTCTTTTATTGGTGATCTGCCACCTCTTCCCGTGGATGATGAAGCTGATGACGAGGACGAGGAAGAGGTGACATCTTCTGAAGATGATTTCGAACAGATATCAGAAGCTGATTTGATGGGGATAGAGAATGATGGGGAAGAAATGAAGGCTGCAGGGGATGGAGCAACTAATGTTTGTCCTGAAGAAAAAGATCCAGAATCAGAAGTAAACAAAGAAGAACCCAATGAATTGTCAAGTTGAGGGGCTGCTATAGATAGAAATATGTTTACGTTAGATGGTGGTAAACTGATTTATTTTCTTCTAAAATGAAGCATCATTTTCAAAGGTGGTAAATCTGGCAAGTTCCAGTTACATTTATTGTATTGGAGATGACCAGACAAAATAGGCGTACAGTTTTGTTTGTGGCAATGAAGATTTTCTACCAGTTTAATGCTATCTAATTTTAATAATGCACCCAGAAAATTACCTGTAAAATTTATTAGCCTTATGGTATAATTTTTGTATAGTGATTTTGTTATTAAATTTTGTGGCCCTGGTGTAGAGTGTATTTTTTTTAAAAACTGTTTATTTACTCATTGTTTTATTAAATACATTTTAAAATTGACAGTTCCTATTTTCAAATTGAAATTAATTACATTAGGTAATGCTATTAATGTGTGTTTGATTGTAACCATCTAGGTTAGTTACTATCCTGTGACACTGGTTGAATTTAATTTTCTTTTCAACTTGGCCAGTTAGTATCTCAATAAAACCTGGACAGTTTGGATCTCACAAAGTCCTTTAGAAACACAATTTTTAAAAATATGCCTAGTATAAATATATTTAGTAGATTCTAGATTATTTTTTTGCTGTTTTAAGCACAATTTTTTGGTACTTCATAATCACTTGTACTTGTGTGTCTTTAAATATTCCATGATATTCTAGAAAACATTGAAAAAGAATTATTGGTGTTTTTCTTTGGTACTTTTATCAGGATCATCTCATATTATTCTGATTTTTAAAAATCTAAAAACAAAATTTAGAAATACTAATTCTGAATGTAAATTTATTTTCCTAATGGTAACCATATTTTCACCATTGCTCTCAATAAAATTTTATTCTACCATCAATATGGAAAACAATATTGAAGATTGTGCCATATACCATGAAAAGAAAGAACAATTATTCAAATTCATGGTTTTAATACACACAAATCAAGCTGTAATAAATGATTAGATGGTCACACAATATTTCCTAAGCCTGTACCAAGGCAAGTTGCAAGATTTTGTGGACTAATTTTGTAACAAATAATAAATAAAGCAATCCCAATATCTTAATATATGATCTGACTTTTATTTTGCATTTGTTTTGTTGTTTATTGTTTTCATTGATTCTAAATATTGCTGAATTTCTTTCAGATTATTTGAAATTAATGTGTATGATTGTCTTTGAAGAAAAAGATATTGAATTAGCTGTAAGAAATATTATATAATAGCACTAGAAAGGAACTTTACAGATAGTTTTATTACTAAATGGAAATTTCAAAAATTCTAAATCATGATATTTTTATTAACTGAGGTTCAAATCAGCTCTAGAAGCAAGTATATTTTTGAAAATATTTAAGAGTTTGTATTTTTTTTTGTTGACAATTTGACATTGACTTTTGAGTGTTGCTAGTCGTTTGTGTCATACTGTTGATATGCTATCATTCAGTGGTTTAAATTATTTTTACTTTTAATGCCTGATTCATTTCTTCTCTACACACATTTTAAGATTACAACTAACAGAGCATTTTGTTGTGTAGGGCTTTAAGGCTATTAAAGTAAATTTTTAAGTACGTACTTAATTAAGCTGTGAATTTTTTTTTTTTTTAAAGAGAATGTTTTCACCTATGTCCTGTTGTAGATTTAGCTCTTTGTTTAATTAAATATTTTACTCTCTTTTTGACAAAGGTTTTGGGGTGTCACCTTTTTTTTAAAAATTATTTTTGCAAAGGGAAGTAGTTTTTACCATTTTTAAATGCTTTTTAATCTCATATGGTGTAGTCTTTCACTAAATTAACATTATTAAATTTAGTCTAATCAGAATTCTTTTTAGTTCAATATTATGATCTGAGTTCAGCATGTTTTTTCCAAAAGTCAAATTGTTCACACATACAGTTAATTTTCATCACTTATAAAAATTCAAAGTTTGGATTATAGTTAAATAAAAACAACTGCCATTACTTGAAAATGAATTACCTTTCTTTAATTATTTGCAAGCCTGCATCAAATAAAAATACACTAGCAATAGCATTAAGATGGCAGCCCATTTACTTTAAGAAATACCGTTATTACAATTGTTAAACAATAAAATGTTGTTACAAATTAAGATTATTTCCAAAAATCAATATTGTATACTGATTGCAATCTTTTTTATTTTGTTAAGAAACCTGATTTTTACACTTTTTACAGCTATAAAGATTTTCTCAAACCTGCGGTTCAGTATTTGTTTTGTGTAAATAAATTTAACAACAATTTAGGAAACAAACAAAAATTTGAAAATTCTGACCTTTACAGTCAAACCTCAATTTTTTTTAAAATTAATTATTGTGATGAAATTCTTTTTCAATTTCATTCATTTGTACATTTTTATATCATAATAAAAGTTGATTCACTTTCGTTATCTTGAGTTTCTATTCTTCTAAACTAAAAATTTTATCCACAGAATATTACTGCTAATTTTTATAATCTTTTTTGAATTTTAAAACAGGGCTGAAGAGACCATTATTTTACTTCAGTAATTAATAATATTCAATGCAGGATATAATTTATGTAGGTATATTGTTTTTAAAAATATACAACAAATAAAGATTCAGAAATACAATGCAAAAATATATTTTGATATATAAATTTTAATGTCCATAGGTTACCAGTACAGACAGTTGATTTCCATTTAAAATAGAGAATATTTTCAAGAGTTTTTAGTGATTACAAATCTTATCTCCCTCTACTCAATTTTTTTTTTTGGTGTAGTGCAGATAAAATCTATAAAGCACCCACATGACAAGAAAAAAAAAAATTCCTAAAAAAACGTTTTAATAACAAGCTTTTATGTAATAATGCACTAATAAGTAGAAAATAAATTATACACTACTATTTAAATAACTATAAAGAAAAGCGTGGGTGTCTTCCTAAACATTAGTAAAGGTATCCAGTAGATACTAAAGTGACCCACGCTTTTCTTTCTAGTTATTTAAATAGTAGTGTATAATTTATTTTCTACTTTTTAGTGCATTATTACATAAAAGCTTGTTATTAAAACATTTTTTTAGGAATTTTTTTTTCAGTACTTTACATGTTTTACTTACAATAGAGTTACATGACTAAAAACCATTGCGCGCCTACTGAACGTGATGACGCAGCCATTGAACGTGATGGCGCAGCTATTGAACGTGATGACGCGTGTGGTGTGGTTGGATAGACATGCCTACTAATTCGGTCCAAATTTTAATTAATTCATAAAAAAATTTATTAGGCATCCAATTAAGTCAAATTTAATTTCAGATTGTATTGTCTTCATGCCTTGACCCACGTGTCAAATGTGAATCGTATCGGTCAAGTAGAAGTGACCGAATTTTCACTCCAGCGTTTCGATCTAGACTGACGACTGACGACAGACTGACGAGGAAGTGAGTTAAATAAAAGCTTGTAAAAACATGTGTAACTTCATTAAATGAACTTTTTTTTTTAAAATGGCATAGCATTCACCCATGAAGGTTTAACTGAATTTGATGAACTATGCAAAAGTAACAAAAGGAAAATACTCAACACTTTACTGTTGCTATTGGTATTATGTAGAGTTCTAATTTGAAATCATTTGGATGCACAAAATTCATAACAATCAATGAAATATTTGTAACAGTTAAATGGAAAAAAGTACTAAAAATTCCCAAACTTCAATAAAATTTTTACACTGGACAACAAATAAAGTCACATGAAACAAAAACAATTTTAGAATCTTAAAGATGTTTTATATTTCTGCAATGTGTAACTATTGTTTATGATCAAACTATTGAATCTCTGGTGGCTAGGTATTTTAACAAAACCCTTAATAAAATTTGTGAAAAATAATAAAGCTGGTTAGTATAAATTTAAATGGAAAATGTAATAATCATAGGATGAAGAAAAAATGAGTTTGCTTGCATTGTATGTAAATAATAAGATGAATGAAACATTAATTGTTTTTCTTACAAAGTTCTATGGTTCAATAACATGCTGAGACAAAATGAACATGTTTATGTCAAAATGAAGACAAAAATTAAAATGAATAAACTAATAAAAATGATAATCAGATATTTTACATCATGCAAAACATAATCAGATATTTTTACATCATGCAGAACATAATAACAGCAGTCCTAATACTTCATTCAGAAAAGAACCATCCTGTTACAATATATCAACCATCATAACATGCTGTTCACTTTACCCAATCTATCTATCTTCACACATTGCCATCCATGTCAGTGGGGATGGTTCGAATGAGTTCTTGTATCCGGGCAAGTATAATTTCATTGGTACTCAGACAGCTGTGTTCTGTGTAAGGTGGGCAGATGGTTAGAGCATCAGCTATAGTTAATGACTGACCATCTGATCCACTAATGCTCACAGGCAAACGATGTTTTTCTAACCACAATTTGAGTCGTTGCATTCTTGCAGTTAATGCCTCAGGGCTTAACTTTTCGGCAACCGCTGGTCGAAACAAATTATCAAAACATTGGCAAATTTCTTTATTCCCTTCAGAAATTATTTCTATACTTCTCACAGAAGGTCCCATCAACAGTTTCATAGCAATCTTGTTGCTGTCAATTTTACTAAGATCAGTCACTAATACAATACTTTCAGATACTGGATCAACTGTGTACACATAGCCAATGTGATCACAGTCATCTTCTGTCCTCACTCTCACTTGATTATTCACTAGTCTCACCCATTCACTGGGATCTTTTGTGAAAATTGGATGTAACATGTCTTTGTTGACATCTACAACTGAACTGAATGCTGTGCCAATATTCATCTTCAGCTTGTCTGTACTTTAAAAATAATAGTTACAATTATAGCCAAAAGTTTAATATGGAAGGCTATATTTAGCTGCTGCTGGGAACTTCACCCTCGTTCTTTACATTAAATAAAAAACTGCTGTTGTTTTTGTACTCTAGCAAAAGTTTTGTTTTGATTAGAAGTTGCTGATGTAATATTGATTTAATTCTTAATTGCTCTTCTTGGCTATTTTGTGTGCCGGGAAGTCTGTCAATGCACTCTCTTGCTCTTTGAAACTGTGATTTCAAGTCTATCATCTTCTGTGCAACATCACTTGTGTCCTTTTCAATACTGAAAAAAAAAGTTACAGAATTAACGTTAACCTAATTTAAATATTTAAAAAATCAAGTGCAATGTTATTAAACTTTAAAATAGAGTGTATGTGACCTATTAGAGTACCATAACATACACTTAGGCCTATAACATTTATTTTAAAATATATCTATATTTTCTAAAATTTAATTTTAACTTTAATTTAATTTAAATGAGGCCACCACAATTTCAAATAGCAGTTGCCCAAGCTAACGTATACTGATAATTAAAGTCAATGTGAACTCACGGTGAATCTTCTACCGTGCCGTGTAAGGATGTTTCTATTAAATTTTGTATTTAATTCCACTTAATTTCTTTATAAATGGAACTGTAATGCTTATTCAAAATCTTTTTTACCTTATTCTAATTAAACAAATTCATAAATAAATAAGTAGATCTAGCTCTAGATGTCTAGATCTAAGATTCTAATCCTAGTGTTTTCTTAATGTTTTTGCGTGCTTTTGCTTGTTTATAATAAAATACGGTCAACGGGAGGTGAACATGAAGCGGCGAATAAAAATACGCTAAAATGGAGTTTTACCTGGTTTAATGAAACTAAAACGAACATTACAGGATAATTTTAAATTTAATTTCCTACGCTTAGGCTATACTATAACATAACGCCGATGGTGACTCTACAGTCTACTCTATATCGCAAGATTAGGCTACTTAATCTTAATATTTAAATATTATAATAACCTAGTACTGGATTTCCAGATAAAGATATAAAGGTAATCTATCGTTTTGGGTACGTAAAATCGCCCGCGATTTGTAATGTGAAAAACAGGTGACTCCTTAAATTTTAATAATTATTTCACATTTTGAGGAGGATTTATGTTTTAAAAAATTCAAAAATGTTTCCTTGATTCATTTATGTACCTGTTTTTAAACAATTGAATTAAAACTATTCCGTAATAAATGAAGACTAGCGATGTTTCCAACAGATGCAACCATGCTCATCTACTATAGCAGCCATCTTGTCTAAGTTATATTTTTATAAGCTTTTAGCGCCAGATTCAGGGGGAAGCCACTCTATTTTACAAATGGCTGCTTTTTATATAGCAAATCTTGCTCTCAGATACTGCTGTTTAAAGTTAATTTCTGGCCTATATCGATATATTTAGCCATTGATTTAGGTTTATTATTCATTTATCCATAATATTTGACACAAAAGTATGACAATATACTTCTATTAAAGCCTTGACAATGAGGTAACGTTTTCGTACATAAATAGCCGCGGGCGATTTTACGTACCCAAAACGATAGATTACCGATATAAATCTAGCTTTTACTAGAATCTTCAATCTAGATTTAAGTAGATTACTACTCACTACTGGGCACTGAAAGCAGAGAACACGGAAAAGGTACTTTTTTATTATAGCAGGCAGCAGAGTGGGAGATTTTCTTTTTAAAATTTTATTATTAACAGACTAGGGGCTAGATTCTATAATGATTCAGAAATTAGATTTATATGACTAAATGGAGTAAGTAGATCTAGATATAAACGTCTTTATTATTTTTTTTTATACCTTTTAATAACTTCATAAACGTAAGGCAGAATGTTAAGTTCATTGTCTGACGCTGAGGAGGCTGCCATTTTCAACCGCCATTATAAAACTATCGCTACACCGCTTTTTGCGACCGCTTTTTTTAAAGACTAATGATTAAGAACTTGCAACATATGTAATTCCTTCTGTAATTTTGAATTAAATGATTATTTAACATAACTGGGGAAAAACTACTTAATGAAACGTCATAAAGAACGAACAGTCTCATTTATTTATGGAAACAAGAATCTGCAACTTTCATTTGTTGAAATAAAAGAAACGTAGTATTAAATAGCAGTATTAAATGCTACTACCGTACGGGCAGCTCTACATATGATTTTAAAGTTAAATTACGCTGTCCATGGTCTGGGATTTCTTTTATGGGATCATCCCTAAACGAACGAATAAACAATGATTACGCCTATCCCCCCCCCCCCATTCTCGGACTAAAATTTCCGGGGGGGGGGGGGGCGGACACTGTTAAAAGTATATTTTTCTGTATACATTACATTTCGTTCGGGGGGGGGGGGGGGGGGGGACGACGACGACGACGAAAGGATACCTGGAAGAAACGCTGGTAGTCGGTGAAGTGAACTGGTGTTCGAACAAGCTTATTAATATTAAAATTTATCCCAGGTGCACACTAGTTATTAAAAATTAAGGCTGAAAATATTAGTAGTGTAGAATGATTATTTAAAGTAAGGAAATTTATTCTCTGGCGGTATTCAGTCTACCCGGGTGTAAAGCAAACACTTTACGTCATATGACGTAAAAACTCAAGAACAATTGGCTTGAGGGAAAAAATAGCTCTATTCTAATCACAGTAGCTACTTGTTCTTTAAATGTTTATATCGACTCACTATTAATTGTTTAAAATATAAAACTGAGTCATAATCCAGAATAAAAAATAGTTTTTGGTCCACAAACTACTTCAGACTTTACACGTTGACCCTTAACCACGGGTTTGGCGGAGGGGGGGGGGGGGGGATGGGTTGCCCTAATTAACTCTTTTATTGACGACCACGATAGCTATGCTATTATAAGCTAGCTTATACTAATTTAAACTAGATATAGAGTCTAGATCTATAACGACCCAACCAAAAAAGGATCTATGGCCTGCCCTAAACAAATATTATTTTAATAATGAAATGATTGATCGTTAAAATATATTGCAAAATTTCACGAATGACCAATTGTTTTACTAATATATTCTTTTTATAGTAAATGAAAATATAGTTCTATGTTCTATGTATTGATTGTTTTACTTTTAGCGCATTAAAAACTTGCTCAAGATCTGCACTTAAAATTTATATACAGAACATTAGGCTGAACCCGCCCCTTTGATGATCATGTGACTTTCAAAATGGCTGCTTACGAATGGTAATATTTTCAAAACAATATAATTTTTTTCTTTTCTTTTTAAAACTATGAAACAATACCATCACAATAAGTTTAAAATCCCCATTTACTTATATTTACTATAATTATGCATTATTAAATTAAATACCCGATTACTGACTTTATTTTAGTACTTTGACATAATAAAAAATCTGATTCTGAGTATCTGAGTCTCTCGTCTCTGGAACTCTCTGAAAATAGAGTAGACTAGTCTGAAGTCTCTGGATTGGTATTATTGGTAATCTTAAAAAAAATTCTTAAGTCCACTTAAGCATAAGTCAGTAAATTAAGTATTAGATCTAGTATAAGTAATCTAACATACATGATACTTCATACTCAAAGGCTTTAGTTTAGTTAGGTGCGTAAAATTGTCAGAGGCTAGTAATGTGCGAAAAAGTTGTCTCATTGTTCTGGCTTTAGTTTAATACAAGTACAAGTATTGATTAGTATTGTGATATATATTATATTTGTGTCACATATTATAGATAACTGAATAATAAACCAAAATCAATGGCTAGATATAAAGATATATCAATAGAGGCTAGAAATTAACTTCAAACAAACAGCAGTGTTTGCGAGCAGGATTTGCTATATAAAAAGCAGCTATCTGTAAGTAAGAGTGGTTTCCCCTGAATTTCTAACTATAATTTTACAAAAAAAAACTTAAACAAGATGGCTGCTAAAGTAAATGAGATTGGTTGCATCTGATGAAAACATCGCTAGTCTTTATTTTTTTACCAAAAGTTTTAATACAATTGTTACATTAATGAAACTTTGAAACATGTTTGTAGCTTCCAAAACATAAATCCTCCTAAAAGTGTGAAATAATTACTAAAATGTTAGGACCGTAGTCTACTCAAGTTAAGCCTTTTTTGACGATATTTCGATTCGACCCTTTGTATCCCTAGCAAAACAAACCCCAGGCATGGCCTCAACTTGCATGTTTTTTTGCATTGAGTTAAATATAAAATCAAAACAATAATATAAACAATCTCATTAAAAACTGTCAGGCCACATACCACGTATGTTTTTTTCAATACTATTCTCTCCCCTTCTTGTACTCAAATTTAAAACCCAATTTGTAAAGAAAGGCAGTTTGCTTTGAGAAGGGGGGTATATACTCATTGAAAAAAATCTATCGTGGTATTAGAATGTTTTATTACTAAATGCTTTATAAAAAAATTCTATTTACAGGTTTCCTAGACCTCGTAACTATGCTCTAGAAATCAGTAGCTTGGAAGTAGCTACCACAGTAACCACTTCACACCCATTGAAAGCCATTACTGTAAGTTGTTAGCTTTTGGTTACATTTAGTATTCACTGTCCTATTCAGTCAGTATGTATGTTTCTCTGATAACAAAAAATGTTGTTTTTATCTAATAGGTAACAAGTATAATAAAAAATGCTGTTTTTTATTCAACAGGTCATGGAAATAAAATAAAAAAGTAGGCCTATAATAATTTTTTTTTCAACAGGTAACAGAAGTTAAAAAAGTTGGAGATAAAAAAGATGTGGGTAAAACTACAACTCAACAAACATTTGTGGATCCTCTCAGCATGAGTGACCCTTTAAGCTCAGGCATAAGCACACAATTTGAGGGCACAGACCCACTCTCTATGATGATGAAAGGAGATTCACTGAATTCTGGGAAAGCAAGCCGATCAGACAGTTTGAAGGTTTGTAGACTAGACAGTAAATAATGCAGTACAAACCAAGTTATACAAATTGTGAGTCAGATAAAACCTGCTATTTTTTTGTGATGGCTAATCTAAGAAATTTTGGTTATACCTTTTATAATATTAGCCAAGCCACAAGTATATCTTTTTTTTAAAGAAAGAATTAATTAACCTGTATATTGAAGAGCATAGAAAGAAAATAAAACAGACTGTAGGTTTTAAAGGTGGACTCCTTGTATATTATTTTACTTTCACTTATTATAATGTCTGTAAAATAAAAATTGATTACAAAGATAAAATTAAATAACTTAGTTATATAATATAAACTAGTAAAAAAAACTAGTAAAAGCTAATAACTTTGTTTTTTTTTTAATTTGATAGAATCCAAAACTTGATGAAATTGATGGCAGTGATATTCTGTCTGACACATTTGAGCCATGGTCACTGAAGAAAAGTGGGATACTGGCTAAATATACCACATCAGAGAAGCTGTCAATCACAACAAGCTTTCTCTCACCCTCTGATCAAGAGAAAGGTAACCACAGCTGAACATTTGCTCCAACTGCTTGTGACACTACATCACAACTACCTGTATCCATAAGTTCAAACTTCATGATATTTAGCTCAAACATAACTAAGTAGCCTACTTTCACATTGATTACTATATTCAGCATTGATGTGTGGCCACTGTCTGATAGTTAATTTATAAACACAAGGGAACTATAAAAAAATTTACCCATACGTACCCCAATTAGTTTATTAACCTTCTTTTACAACATGCCTTAAGTTGACCTTTGACACTTATTAGTTACTACACAAAAATATAAACAATTATTGTCAGAAGTTAATATATAGTAACAATTCTTTACCTGACTTCAGTTGTGATAAAGACCCAGACTCAGTCCCAACCCACTGGAACTGTCAGTGATAAAGTCAAAAACAGGCTGGAACAGCTTGATGACTTTGAAGAGGTAAAGAAAAATTGTTACAAAAATAGAAGCTTTCTTGTTTAAAAATACTGTTTTGTATACTTCTTGGTTTTCTTTTTTAAATGGTAGGGTTAAAATTTAAAAGTTGAATTACTCCGCTTTAGGGTTCAGTGAAATAATATTAATTGTCAAATTTATTTTTAAAAAAATTTTTAGGATGTGAAATAATAATATCTCAACTTTTATTTTTTTAACTTAAGGCTCACTTAATAAGACCTCAACTTATTTCATTTAGGGCTTATTGAAATAATATTACCTGTCAAGTTTAATTTTAAAAAATGTAAGTTCTGAAGAAATATGACCTCAACTTTATTTTGATTTGATTTAGGGCTCTGTGAAAGAAATGTTAAATCTGAGCCAACAAGATTATGTCAAAAGAATCGATGAGTTGAACCAGGCATTGATCAATGCCTGGGAAAGTGATCATAGAGTCAAGGCCTTAAAGATTGCCATACAGGTTTGTTTTTTATCCTGTTTGCATTCGTGTAACTTGTCTTTCTTATTGTTGAGATGGTGAAGTTTAAGAATATTCACTGTTTGTTAGGGCTTATTACATTTATTAAGACAATATCAAGCTATTATTCATAAAAATGTTAGTAAATATTGATGCTTACTTTTAGTTCTCAAGAATAATTTTTTATCCATCTCAGTGTTCTAAACTTCTGGCTGATGTTTCTGTTATCCCATTCTACCCTAGCAAGTTTGTTCTTATTACAGATATACTAGACACATTTGGTAAGTTGAGTTGTTTTTTTTAATTTTGTTTCATGCATAATTTGATTATTTTTGGATTAATATTTGGTTTATTTATGATAATGTTTTACAGGTCGTTTAGTATATGATCGTCTACTTGATAAAGCACAGACTTCTTTGCCAGGGTCATCACGACCTCACAGACTAGCAGGTAACTATGAGAATGATAAAAAATTACAATGGTTCTGCACTTCTAATTCTAATAGCTAGTAACTATGAGAATGAATAAACTACAATAATTCTGTACTGCTAACTAAACTAACTCTTATTTGTTTGATAGTAGTTACCTTTTAAATCTTAACTAAAAAATATTTTTCAGCAAATTTTACATCTGATGAAGTACCTGAAGCTGCTAAAGAGACGTGTAGAAACTGGTTTTTTAAGATTGCTTCCATACGAGAACTTATCCCACGCTTATATGTTGAGGCTGCTCTGCTTAAATCTTATAATTTCTTGAATACAGGGTAAATATAATTTGAATTAAATTTTAAGCAACTTTGAAATAATTATCAAGTGCATTAGCTTGTACTTTATGTATGAAATTATTTCAAACTAATTTTTAATGTTTATGCTATAAACATTGAAATTATTCTGTTTATTATTAAATGATTAACTATTTTAAAGACATTTGTATATCATTTTATTTTTTTAATCAAACACCATGTAACTGTTTTTTAAATTTGAAATTATTAATGAATGTCTTTGAGCAGAGAGTACACAGACGCCCTGAAGAGACTGTCTCTGATGGCTCGTGGTATAGGAGATCCTCTGGTGGCTGTTTATGCTAGGTGTTATTTGTGCAGGGTGAGGAATACTTTTTTTTGTTTGTTGTAGCCGACTCTAGTTTTTATAAAACATTTGTTGTTATTTGTGTAGGGTGAGGAAAACTTTTCTGTAGCAACCACTAGTTTTTATAAAACCTAAATACTTACCCAGAATTTCCGACACGCTCTAAAACACACAGAATTAAGTGTAGGAAACTGGCTTTTTACTGCTGTGTGACTGAAACTAAACAATGACTTGTAAAATGACACAAGCATTATCAATTTATTAACCTATATATTATTAGAAATCAACAAATTAACATTTGATTACTTTTTCAGGTTGGGATTTTGGTAGCCCCCAAGTTTAGAGACCACATCCCTGTGTGTTTTGAGGACTTCATCACCACATTCCCTCAGGTTGTCTATTCTTAGACAAGCCCTAGTCAACAGACAGTCTTTTAACAAACTAATATTAGTCTCACTGAACTGTCATAAATATACTATAATATTTTAGTAGTTCAAAGCTACATTTTAATAGCTGTTATTTCTTCTTTACAAAAACTTAATCATACGGTAAAAAATGGTTATAGGGTATCAATTTATTAAAAGTTAATAAGAAAATTATCCCATCATAGTTTCAAATGTTTTAAAACGAAGATAAAATTGTGTACTGTTAGGTACAGGGTGACATTGTCCAGAACATCATGGCCATGCAGAAGCTGGAGATGCCGCAGTACCTGACCCTGTTCTCTCCCGCCCTGGACTGGATCCTCCAGTGCCTGGCCCACTCAGCCTCTGAGAAACTCCTCAACCAAACTTTGGACAAGTGCAAAGAACAGTGTAACAAGTGAGTCACTTCAATTAGAGTTATAAAAGTTGGCAGTTGAAATAGTTTATCTGTTTTGGTCACCCTAGCCGCTTTTACTTTCCCTAAACTGAGTCAGATACCCATTCGAACTTGAGACTCTTGGGTACGCTCCACCATCTAACCACTTTGTCCTTTAAATTATGTCCCTTTTTAAAATCATTATGTATGTTTTGTTTTTGTGAATCTTCATGCTACTGTATTCCTATTGTTTGACTACTCCTGTTAACTTGATATGGATTATGTCTACTTTTGCTCCTTAGCCTGTGACATCTCCTGCTAACTTTGTGTCTGTCTTTCAGTGCGCTGATGATCAACTCAATCATGTCAGCCTTCCAGCCCCAGTACATAGCAAACAGGGCCCTGATATTTACAGAGATGATCAGAGATTGTGAGGGGACAGGCTTGCCCAAGGTTGAAATAGTTTTTGCACAATTACATCCAGAATTGTTTTTACCATTGGTGGTTTTTTGTGTGTTTTTTTAGCCCTCAAAAATGTGTTATATTCCTAATTTTAAAACTATGTTCCTCATGCCTTGTAAAAATGTTGTAAATAGTGTAATGTTTTGGTTTCAATTTTTTTTATTGTGATATTATAATTAAGTGGTCAGCTGATGTTCTTAATTCACTATTCCCAGCACCTGTTACATCGGACCCTGGGGTTATGCTTGGTTGTTGCTGAAACACCTGAGGACCAAAGGCTGGCTGTGCTCAATGAAGTGTGGAAGGCTGTTGTTAAGCTGAAAAATGGATCAGTAAGTTGAATGTTGGCTTTCACTCATTCCCGCCGGATGCGACTAAATGCGTCTGGCCACACCCCCCCCTACTTTTCTTTTCAAATTGATAATGAAATCACGCACGCCCAAGATTTATACTGAGAATCACGTTGTAGCGAGATTCCACGATATTTCAGTAAAAAAACAGAAGATTTTATCTTGCGTGGTTCATTTTCAAAACGTGTTTTCATGAGAGATATTTTTCTGATTTTTATTGTGATTTTTACTGTGCTTTTGATTGATTTATTGACATGGCTTTTGAATTCCTTCAATCTATTATTGATGGAAATAAACAATTAAGTGATGTAGACGAAGAAGGTTCCGATATTGATGTGGAAAATGGTGACTCTTAGTCTGATTCTGACAGACGACGTTCCTTCTAGTGATGAAGCTGACATGCGAGACACTGAATGGTCTGATCAGCTGTCTGTGTTACTGACAAAATGGGCTTGTTCACTGAATTTAAAGGAATGCTGCATGTTATTCCTGATGACAGTCTACCATTAGACTACTTCAAATTGTTTGTTACTGATGAATGTATTGAAAACTTCGTCATACAAACAAATTTATATGCAGAGCAGTACTTTGCCAACCAGTCTGCTGCTAAAAAGACCCCATTCAAATGAATTCCAGTGAATGCTGATGACATCACTAAATATATTTACAATATATTATGTTTGGCCTGCATCAGATTCCAGATGGAAGACTTTACTGGTCTTCTGATCCTATGTGGAGGGTACCTGCAGTGGCTGATGTGATCAGTCGTGACAGGTATGATGCCATTCACAGATTGTTTCATATCGACGACAGCTCGCAACAACCTGCGAAAGGCAACCCTAACTATGACCCCCTCTTCAAAGTTAGGCCTTTCCTAGACCACATTAAAAACATCTGTGTGTCTATTTACAAGCCACAGTGTCAACTTAGTGTTGATGAAGCCATTGTTGGCTTTAGAGGAAGACTTGGCTACAAGCAGTACATGAAGGACAAGCCAACACCCTGGGGGTTTAAAATTTGGTGCTGTGCGGAGGTGAAGACAGGATACATACTGAACTTCAAGCTGTACACTGGGAAAAGTGAAAGGAGCTCCACAACTGGACTAGGTTATGATTATGATGTAGTCATGACTATGACAGAACCCTTTTTAGACAGGCAACACTAGATTTTTTTGACAATTTTTTTTCATCGCCAAAGCTAGCAGAGGATCTGCTTGCTCGAGGCACCTACTGTTTTGCCACCATCAGGCCAAACTGTACAGGCTGGCCTTTCAAGAAATTGAAACAGAAGAAAGGGGAGTGCAGGATGCAGCAGAAGGGGATGCTTGTGGCTTGTCAGTGGACAGATAAGCAGCAGGTCAATCTGATCTATACCAACTCCAATCCTGCCATGGCCAAGGTTCAGCGCAGAACCAAAGAAGGCCCCATTGACGTGGAAATCCCTTGCAGTGTAGACTCCTACAACTCGTACATGTTTGGAGTGGACCTGGGTGATCAACACAGATCCTACTACCCTGTAGGCAGGCCAAGCCATAAATGGTGGAGGTATCTGTTCTGGTATCTGATCCAGATATCCATTGTCAACGGCTACCTACTTATAAAAAAAATGAACCCTACATCCCCTCTTAGTCAGAGCCATCTGAAATTCAGGGCAAAGCTTGCGCAGCAACTACTGGCAGGGAAATCTACAGCTGCAACAAGGCCCCAAAACTTGCCTAGTGTTGCTGGCATTGCAGAACCTTTCAGCCCCCAGCGCAGGCTCTCTACCATGCCAGGCAGAAAACGTTGTGTGTCATGGAAGGGGCAAAGATGCCCAGTGGCAGGACCTAAGAGACCACCAAAGGCTGCAACTTATGTCAGGTGTATCTGCATGCAGGACAGTGCTATAGTCCTCTAAAGCTGCAATATCCTTCTAAAGTTGTCTCCTTTTTTCCTTTCAGGATTACATAAGCTGTGCTGAAGTGTGGATAGAGTATGTTGTCAAATACTGTGGGGTGAGTGACACTTCATTTATTGCTTTTTATAATGAGTTAGTGACAGTGTTAAACTAGTGTCTTTCTACAGATGACAGGAACTATATAATCATTTATTGAAACTGATAATTTTCTAACAGCTACATGCAATAATTACTTTCAACAAATTTAGGAACTGCCAGTAGAATTTTATGAGGGTAATTTAACCCTGATAAGTGCGTGCTTTTTATTACAGAAACGTGAGATCAACACTTTTCTTGGTGACATCATCAAACACATGACACCAGATCGAGCATACGAAGATTTTTATCCCCAACTGCAGTCAATTGTGTGCAAAATTCTGGCTCATCAACATGATTTTTCTCTTTTGTTTTCTCTTGTGAGTTGTTTTACAACTTCTGTAAGACTGATGAAAGCAGAGAGTAGTGTGAATTGTAGCTTCATAAATTATTTCTTATCTATATATGTTAGATTTATAATTGTAATATTAATCTCTATAGTTATTTCCAGTCCATGTTTATTCTGCTTTTTGACCTGCTATTTGTTACACAGGAAAAGTTTCTCCCATTTGTTGATATGTTTCAACGTGAATCAATCAAGGTCGAGGTTTGCAAGTGTATCTTGGAGTCTTTCAACAAGTAAGTCTGGAGTGGTCTGTAAGAAAAACTTGTTATATGTATTTAGATAGGAATTGAAACAAATGTTTTTGATGCTTGACTCTTCTCTCTCTTTCAACAAGTAAGTCTGGAGTGGTCTGTAAGGAAAAACTTGTTTTATGTATTTAGATAGGAATTGAAACATATGTTTTTGATGCATGACTCTTCTCTCTCTCTTTCAACAAGTAAGTCTGGAGTGGTCTGTAAGGAAAAACTTGTTATATGTATTTAGATAGGAATTGAAACAAATGTTTTTTGATGCTTGACTCTTCTCTCTCTTTCAACAAGTAAGTCTGGAGTGGTCTGTAAGGAAAAACTTGTTTTATGTATTTAGATAGGAATTGAAACATATGTTTTTGATGCATGACTCTTCTCTCTCTCTTTCAACAAGTAAGTCTGGAGTGGTCTGTAAGGAAAAACTTGTTATATGTATTTAGATAGGAGTTGAAACAAATGTTTTTGATGCTTGACTTTTCTCTCTCTGCAAGACACCAGACAACACCCATCAATGATCCAGTTGTCATTAATGCCATGATGTTCCTGGGGAAGGTCATGCATGATTCAATTGAGTGAGTAATTGTTTGAAGTGTACATTTTCCCATCTAAATCTTGTCATTGCTATTTTTATATCTCTATTTTTAAGATTGTTGGGCCTTTAACTTTATTTTTTTATAACTTCATTTTGTTAAACTAACTTAAACCCTTGTAGTGACAATAGAATTATATAGTTTAAATACAAAGGTTTATTTTTATTTTATTTTTGTTTGTTATGTGTTCAAGTTCGTGAAAATGATCCAGGTATTATAGGGTTATTAGAGAAAAAACACATATTACTACATAACTACTGTACTGTGTTAGTGATTGAATGTAGCCACCTGGTCTTATATAAGGTATGTCTTGTATACAGTGCACTCACTCTAGATGATGAGAAACGAGCCATCGGCTACTTACTGTGTGGGTTCATCAGACTTGTCCAGTTTGGGCGTGACTTTGAACAACAGCTGAGCTTTTATGTGGAGTCCCGTTCCTACTTCAGCAATCTTGATGCAGTTCTGGTTATTCTCATTCATGTAAGTGATTATTTAGTTTACCTCTTTAGTTGTGTACAATTTTATTTACTTGACCTTCTAATAGACAAGATACTTGCAATATTCAACCCTTTTGCTATAATAAAACTTAACCTCATTAATTATAAAATATCTTGACATTTAAAAAAAACAGCTTTATTTCTGTTTCGCCTATATATTTTGTTGGTTTTTAATGCTGTTTATTGTTGTTCTCTAGTCTGTCAACAACTTGGCAGTAGAGACAAGAAAAGTTGTCAAGGGAAACCACTCTAGTAAAACAGCTGCTTTTGTCAGAGTGAGTGTTCATCATTGTAGTTTATGAATTACAAGAAATTACTTAATTTTGGCAAATATTATTATTAAAAGTTGATTTAAAGTATATTAGAAAATTCATGAATTTTTTTCCATTTAATGATAAATTCAATTTTGTGATGCATTTTCCAAATAAAGAAACAATGTTACAACATTAGGGTATAATAATTAGTTTTTTAAGGCAGTTTTGACTACAGTTGCTATATGCCAGGCTCAACTAGAGGAAATGTTAGCAAATCACCATGGTGAAGTGTGAAACTATCACTAACAAGAGAAATATGTTTATATTTTTTCAGGCCTGTGCAGCATATTGTTTCATCACCATCCCATCGCTGCAGTCAGTCTTCTCTCAGCTGCAGCTCTACCTGCTGTGTGGTCAGGTGGCCTTACTCAATCAGTGTTACTCTCAAGGTCAGTGTCTGGTCACTCTCAAGGTCACTCAGTGCTAAGGTGTGGTTTCAAAAGTTGGTGTGTGGTCAGCCTCCAGTGTAGGGTGTGAGATCAGGTGGCTTTACTTAATCAGTGCTACTCTCAAGGTCAGTGTCTGGTCACTCCCAAGGTCACTCATTGCTAGGGTGTGGTCACTCAAGTTTCAGCGTGTGGTCAGGTGGCTTTACTCAATCTGTGCTACTCTGAAGATCAGTGTGTAGTCAGTCTCAAGATTAGTGCGTGGCTATTCTCAAAGTTAGTGTGTGGTCAGTTTCTAGGTTAGGGTGTGGTCAGTTTCTAGATTAGGATATCTCTAGTGTGGTCATTTGTAAGGCTAGTATATCATCACTATCAATATTAGTAGCCCAATTGTGGTCACTACAATGTTTAGCATGCTGTCGTGTAAGCTAAGTTAAAAGCAATGGTTCTCAAAAGCTGTAAAATAATTTTTAAAATAGGGATAATAGAATTAATAAGGGAGCTCGTAGTGGAGGGGTTACTAAAAATAATTTTAAAAATTAATGGCTCAATTTAATGTGATTGTATTTGTGAAATTTTTTAATAAGATTTTCTTCTAATTGGATTTGAAGCAAAAACACCATGCTGTGGTAATGGTGTGACCCAACAGTGTAGATCACGGCCTGAAATTGTTTTTCTTTTCACCTCACCTTTCAGGTGATGCTTTCTTCAAGGCTGCCATCTCACTTGTTCCAGAGGTACCCAAGACATTTGATGGGGACTCAAAGTCTAGATCATCGGAGCCATTTTTGTTAGAGTTTCTATACAACTTTGTGGCAACTTTGCTTGTAACCCCTGTGAGCCTTACTAAATTTTTACACTGTCTTATTAATGGTTCTTCTTTCAGCTGCCATTACATGTAATTACTAATTATTCTTTGAGTTTAAATATCCTAAAAAAAGATTCTATAAACACCAAGAAAGATAAATATTATAGTTTTTAAAATTATAAATTAAATTTAAAAAAATTTTATCTTTAAAAAAATATTAAAATTCTAACAAGAAAATACTGTATAAAGAATTATCAAATTGCCGAATGTGATCCTGCATTTCACTGAGTCAAAATTAGTTGAGGTTATCTCCAAAACGATAGAAATTTTAAAAAACATGTTTGAATATTATACAATGAAATCTATAGTATAACTATAACCTTTTAGTTAAGGGTTTTTTCCTACAGGTGTATACTTTATTTTTTCAGAAGCTATAACTTATAATTTCTATTTTATTTTTCATCTACTGAACATTGATCAGCTTGTATTTAATTTTAAGCTAATCATTGCTGGCATATTTATCTTGTGGTGGATTGCCCAATCGTAATTTTAGGTTTCATTTTCACCAGGACAATCCAGAGATGGGAGTGATGTATTTACTGCGTGGATTGCTCAATGTGCTACAAGACTACACTTGGGAGCCTAACAGTGATGCTCGTATTTTAGTTTACACACGTGTCTTAGCTGTTCTATCAGCAGCTTTTCAAGAAGAGTTTCCATACCACATAGACAAAGGTTTGTTTTACCTAATGTTACCTACGTTATAATTCTAATAAATCAGCTTTACAGTTGAAAGAGAAATGTGTATTTATCATGTAGTGCTCATGGCAAATTTACTCTCGGAATAGTTTTATATTTTTATGTAAAATTGAAATTCCCAGTGGACTCCAATGATTCTATGTATGGTCATGATCCAAAGTTCCTATCAGAAGTCAAACTAATGGCCAACACTTTGATAGCTGAAATTTTAAGCCACCTAAAGAGTATCTCAACACCTGAGGTAAAATTTAAACCTCTCATATACACCCAATAAATTGCTTGTAAATTGTATTTAAAAAACTATATTTAAAAGTCTCATTAAGTAAATTTATATAACAGAACAGATTGAATGAAAAGAAAATCAATTGTTAACAAATATAGGCCAGCTTTTAAAAAAAAAAAAAAGTATTTTAAGCTGTTTTATAAATTAGCATAAAATTGTAGTTCAAATTTCTTTGAAGGAAATAGGTAGTAGTGTTAGTGTGTTATAGTCAATGGTGATAAAATGATAAGATAGATTCAAATCTACAGTAAAAAAAATTGCTTTAACTTTTAACTTCTCCCCCACAGAATGCCAAACGTCAGAGCTCTCTTATCCTTGAGGTAACATCAGCACTTTTAACAACATGTGATCTTAGTCAAACATCCATTGCAACATTGATTGCCAACTTGTGGGGATTAGCACTGAAAAATGGTCAGGCTGATGTCAAAGTTCTGGTTTGTTCATTTCTGTCATTTTTGTGTGTGATTTGCCTGATCTGCTCACTAAGGTTTAAGTTAGGTCTCTTGAACTGAAACTGGCCTAAGGTGCTTTTATTTGTTCAAAATTTGACACTTTTTGTCAATAAATCTAAACTTTACATAAAAATATTTATTTAACTGCATTTATAATTGTTGTATTGTGTAAAATATATTTTGTTCTTGATTTAAATTTAACATTTTTTTTTCCCCCTAGAAAAAACTACAAGACTATGCCAAGACAAAGGCAGCCTCAGGAGTATCTGGATTTCAAGCCCTACTACCTAAACTAACCATTAATACTTGAGTTACCTACCTTTGTTGTGAAAGATTCAAACTGGGCCTGATGTTGCTTATAATTTTAAATTGTCTGAATAAGGTTATGTGTGTTATAATAGATCAAGTTTCATTGCTTTATTAGCTTTGATTCATGTAATCTCATGTGATCATCAGATTTTTTACGAAACATTAAAAATTCAAGTTTTTAAAAATGTACAACTAGCAGATTAGTTGCAGGTACTTTCATCATATTGTATCTCACACAGGACAGTAAAAACGGATTATATTCGGTGTTTACCTGTGATTTAATTGACCCTGTTCCATACTCAGTTATTGCAATGTATTTATCTCTAATAAATGTATCTAAATTCAATTGGAGTACCTTGATAGTAATGATAGTGATTAAAATATGTTATACCATGAACTCTTTTTTTTAAATTAACTGCTAGTTAACAAAACAGAGCAGCATATCTGAAGACCTACATGTGGAGGGAAAGTATCACATCAGTTTCAAATCTGTAATTCAAAAGTAGGAAGGGTAATGGTAGCCTAATGTATGTAATGTACAGGAGAAACAAAATGGCCTGAACAAATTCTCTTCAGCAGGTCCCAGGTGACCTCTAGTCACGCCTTGGGGGCTCCATTTCCCTACCTTTTTTTGGGGGAGGGGGGGGGAGGTATTTTGAAGCTGATGATCCAAAATCAGGATAAAGGAGTAGGGTCATCAACAAAATGCGGATAGATCAGTCTGTTGGTATCTAGCTATGGTTACCATTCTTTGTTCGTTTTACTTGTGTTAATATTTGACCAGGCTGTAAAGTGTTGCACCTGTACTGTAAAAGTTTTTTTTTCTGTTGTTTAATCTGGTATCCTACCCGATCTGTTTCAAACTACACATTTTTATTTGGAACCATTCTTCACTGACGTATGGTCATAATCGTATGGTTAAGCAGAGTAGACAAAGACCAACTCCTTTCGTTGTGGCTCTAGTTTAAATATGCATCATGGCATTCATGTAAGTAAGTGTCAAATTATTCCCATGGCTGGTGCGGGTTTTTGTTTTGTAAGTAGTAGTAGTAAGCTGACAATTAAAGTAATATCATATTAGTATGGTAACAGTGGTGGTTGAATATTAAATTTGATTTTAATAATGTTAACATCCAGTAGTTAGACTTGATAAATTCACATGACTAAGGACGACCAACTTTTACGCTTATTTCTGGGAGACTATGGGTGTCACTCAGGCAATAGTTCTAGTTTACAGCCACCAGCCTAACTAGCGACGAAGGAGACAAGTTCACTTTATAGAAACACGCAGAGTATAGGCCTAGATCTGCAGGTTATAATTGTGCCTCGCATCTAACTTTACATACAGTAAGTATGCGGTCTCTAAACTCTAAGGCATGGGGGAGGACGACGACAACACACTTTTATTAGAGGTCATTAAGTATTAAGGTTACATGCTTTTAATATAATCATCTTTTGTAACTTACTTTGTGTATTCTTGATAAACACAAACAGTAGGGATTTGGACAACAGATAAATAGGACAGGTGTGGACTGGTACAAGTAAAAAAAAAAAAACCTGAGCCGCCAGTTTTTTTTCGCAGGAAAGCTGATGTAATGGGCTCATCAGTGCTTTGAATTTTTTAAAGAAAATGTTTATTTTTAATTAACTGTTTAGATTTTTTATATTGTAATTGTAGCCCAATGTGTAAAGTTACATGTGGCTTTTTAGGCACCGGTCCTCGGGCTTGGATGAAAAACGGTGCATCGTCAAATCGACCCAGTCGAAATAGCCCCGTCAAACGGGCCCCGATATATATAATTCATATTGTCATAAAAGTAACCATTTTGTCCTACCTTCACTTCCACTAATCTTTTAAAATGTCTGAATGAAATATTTTTTTCACGAACCAACAGAAATTCACAAACAAATCGAGCCCTAAACAGCTAAATTCCGTAAATTTTAAAATTTTGGTAATGTTTTAACTTACAAGAGTAACAACGGGAGCCAAAATGATAGGAGCCTATTTGTCGGGAATCGTAATGATGGGGGCTGTTTTGTTGGGCGCCCAAATGACGGAAGCCCATTTGTCGAGAGCGAAATCGACTGGAGCCCTTATGTCGGGAGCTGTTGTGACGGGGTCCATTAGTCGCTTGACGGAGGGCTCTTTGACAGGGTCGTTTTGTCATTGTCCGTTTTGACGCCGCGCGAAAACAAATGCACAATGAAAATTGGAAGGGGGGGGGGGAGATGCGCTTTTATTTAGGACCGCTTGGACAAAGATAGACCAGTAATTTTGTTTGGATACCCCAATAACAGAAATGCTGCTGGTCTAAAGCTATTGTTACTATTTCGGACACGAAAGTCAAGGGAAGCAAGATTTGACTGTTTACAATTACATGCAGTCTACCATAAATTTAAAGGGATACTGTAGTCATTTTTTTCTATCCAGCCGCCTTTACTTTCCCTGACGTAAGTCAGGTGGCCTCCCGATGACTAGTCAATAATTCTAGTCTAGCTTTCAGGTTAGCGACGTGATCACGCAGTCTCCCGTAATGAAATAGACGCTTCAACTTCAAGTATCCAAAATTTCCCATTCATGAAAATATTTCGTTCGGGTGTTACCCACCCCTCTCAACAGTTTAGCCTTTCGGTTTGGTGTCACCTCTCTCTTTTTTTTACTAGATACAACATTCAGAGGCGTAGCGAGGGGTGCGGACCGCACCGGGTGACACCATTGAGGGGGTGACACCCAGGCAAAAAAATAGCAAAATAAATAGAGAAAAATTTGAGTGGGGGGGGGGGGTTGCAAATCGAAAGTTTGAGGGGGGTGGGTGCAAATAAAAAATTTGAAAGTTTGTCCCCGAGAAGGTGACACCCGACCTCGCTACGCCACTGACAACATTGCTTTATCAATCAATTTAAAGATTTGTAAAGTTCGGTGTCACCCGGTGCAGATCGCAACCTCTCTCTCGCCATGTCTTCACTGGTTGTAGGATATGTGTATTGAAACCGTCTTAATAAACATTTCGATTTAAACATATTCACTTTGGTAACAGCCATTTGGATCGACCCAAAATGATGGGACAAAACTGCTGAAAGTGAAAGCCTGAATGATAGATATACACAAAAAATTGTCGCCTGAATATTTAAAGTAAACTCACATAAGAATGAGATACTTGAACAACAGGCTTTGACTTAAATTTCCGTACTATTAACTATTGAATTGGTGTAACAAAACAATGTTAACTTCTAAACTAGTAACACAAATCGACTTGCTTTTAATTACACGTACGTTTTAACAGATTTCAATGCACTCACCTTTCAATTTCATCTGATATCGGTAAATAAAGAAAACGAAATAGTCATTAACTTCTTGCAGGGTAAAGAATGGATACCCTGTTAGTGTTTGCATATTTGTACTGTAGTCAAATCTTGTCCTTGTAACATATTTGACCTACTTCTAGTCCTTGATTTCCAGATAAGCTTACTTCTAACGACAACGCAAGGGTCTCTAATTTTTAATATAATTAAGTAGTAGACTATTAATTAATGACTATACATATAATAAGAGATTGAGAGCTAACGACATCAAGTGACTGAGGTGAACTGGTGTTAACACTTGAAGGACGACTACACATTTTAACAGAGGGGAGAAAATAGCTTTTAAAGTATTTATTTTTTAGCGCAATTTCCATACTGACAATTGCGATTATTAATTCGTTATTTCTGGATGGATGTGTGTCCGCAGATTTAAGTCGTATCTCCTCCTCAACGAAGCAATATCGAGGACTAGTTCCAAAAGCAAATATCTTAAGCAAGTTCCGAGGATGATTGTGGGCCAAAAAAATTCCCGGAATTCCTTCCTGGATTTCCCGGAAAAGCAAAAAAAACTCGAAAAAAATACAGTTTTTGGCCCATATCTCGGCAACAAGACCACTTAGAGACTTGAAACATTTACCAATCGATTCCTGCCATAATTTAGAACAATATTGCCGAAGAAAGTTACAAAAAATTAATTAAGGAAATTGCGCTTAAACTGTCACTAGACTTTTTATTAACTTGTTTCAAGTAAAGATCGCAAACTTCTTTTGTGGGGTCTCGGATTAATTAGATCAAATTGTTTTTAAACTTAAATTGTATATCTTACTATTTTAATTTTTAAAATTCCTAATTACTTAGGAAAAAAAAAGCCAACAAAATAAATCCTTAAATTATATAAACATTACATATATAGATCAAATGCATACTAAAAATAAAATCATACTTTGTAGAAATTGAAGGATAGAGGATAGCTATGAATTAAATAATACTAATAGTTGTAATAAAAAAAAACTACCCCTACAAAATCAGGGTATAGATTACTTACCGATCTATGACTATGATGAGTAAAAAAAATAATAAGAGAAAGCTTGACACACTTGGATGTAGCATCAGACTTTTAATACAACTATTCAAAACAATAGCCTGATTAAGCCCAAACACAATGTCATTGTCAGTATCCAGTCATAAAAGAACAATTACTAGACAGAGCCAAACACAACTAAGTCACACACAGTCTTAAAACCTCTTTAAGTTAAAGCTCTAGGATTACCAAATAATCCACATGACTAATCCACCATGTAGAAATTATTTAATAACTTACAGTAGGCCTACAGTAGTTATTGACAACAAAACAAAGATGCAAGAAGTTTAAAGGAAATCTACACCGAAAACAAAATGTTTTTACCGTTGCTGTTAAACACACTTGTTTAAGTATAAGATATGGTCTTTAATATTGATGCTCATTATAAAAACAGTTTCATAAAAGAAACCAACCAATGCAATCACCATAAAACATTGTCACTAATAAATATTGGTTTTCTCCACAAAACTCTCAAACTCATGTGCCATTGGGAAAGTAATAATAAAACATTCTCATTATTTCAAATCGTATTATTTCAACCCTTGAGGTAAACAAATGAAATTACTAATATATACAATAAAATCCTGCTCAGCCAACAACCCAATTTACAATTACTGAAGATTTAGTAAACACATTATTCAAGATGAAAAAAAATAATGCCAGAAATCAGCTACTTTTTAAAAGTAGCTTATACAAACCAGTTGTCAAAAATAGAAGAGAAAAAAAAAATAGAAAATGCTTATTACACAGGGAAAATTTCTGTTCGTAGTCTTATGTTTTAGGTCCAAGAAAAATAGAACTTGGGTCACTGTAAGAGCCACATCTGCCGTACTGGTCCACAGCACGAACTGCAAAATGGTATTTGTTACCCTCCTGAAACTGTGTCAAAGTACAAGCCATGGGAAGTGGGAGAGCTTTCACATCCCCAACCTGAGAAAATATTTACACAAATTATTAAGAAAAATTTAGAACACAAAATGCAACAGATGTTGGAATGTGACATTTAAAAAAAATTACATTCATAACTGAGCCATTACCTTTTTCCATAGATTAGACTTGGGAACTGATGACTCAGTTTCCTGGTATGCAAAAAGTTGGTAGGAGGAAATTTTCTCAACTTCCACCAAAGAGGGCATGTTCCATGATAAGACTATTCCTGAAAATCATAATAAACAAGTGAAGCACACATGAATTGGTAATAGCTTAACTTCAAGAACCATACATTAAAGTTACATCTACCTTGTGACACACGTGAGATCTTAAGACCAGGTTTTGGAGGACGGTTTTTGGCATTTGGTGGTGCATTACCAGCATCTTGATTTGTGGGTAAAGGTGCAGGGTGTTTACTCTGGAAGAAACAGTTGTTAAAAAATAAATATAATACTATTAACTAAACAGTAAGACAGTAATTAAAAAAAACCCCACTGAATGCTAATAATAATAGAAAATGTTAAATAAATACTTTAGCTATAGCAAAAAAAAAAATGATAATAAATTGTACTAAATAAATTCTAACAACAAAAACACAAAGCCTAGATTATAAATAACTAGCTTGAAAAGCCAAGTAAAACATAAAACAGGTTACATGTATTTTTTCAAAACTTATCAGCTGGTAAATAAAAACTATACTTACACTTATATGGCAAGATGGTGGCAAACTATGAGTTTTTGTAGGTGCAGCAGCTGATGAATTATTGTACAACATACCCCTAGGCGATGTGAGCTGTGCATTTGGAATGGAAGAATTGATTGGTCCACTAGATCTGGCCCCAGGCAATAAAGCAAGTACAGGAGGACGGTTTACTGTTGTATTAGTGTTAATTGGAAGCAGCTGGAACGGTGCTCCTGGAAGTCCATTGTTAGATGTAATAAACTGTGGATTGTTTAAAGGTTGGGCCAACAGCTGGTTGTTAGTGTTCAACATAACAGGTGTGCCAGTTGACATGGGAACATTGTGAATCAACCCATTTGTTGCTGGATAAGTCTTGTTACCAGCACCAATGTTTGTGGTTTGTGTATTTGATTGTGCAGGAGCTCGAAGTGCTTTTCTTGAAACATCATCGTCATCAGTTAAATCAATCAAGTTAACCACATTGTTGGTGGCTGGCGATGTAAGAGAACCTCTGATTGCCTGTTGAACAGACTTATTTAGTGAGGAAGATTGTTGTCTGGGAGATATGTTTGCTGGAGCACGGGGTGAGAATTGTTGGTTTGGTCTTCCAAACCGTGGTGAAGTTTGTATGCCTTGCGGGTGGGGTGGAGCTGAGTTTCGATTTGGCATACGAAGAGTATTCGTGTTTCCCTGAGTCTGCAAAATGCAATATTCTATCATAAAAGGAATGTTTTATTAAAAAATATATGTAAGTATTGTAAGCATAAATGATGTGCCATTTTTAGGTTTTTAACTATCATTACCCAGACCAAATATAGACAACTGCAGCACATGGAAGGATTTTTCTATTTGAAAAAAATCAGGTCCACAAAACAGTTGTTTTAAAAGAAAAACCAAAGACTGGTTGTTTAAAACCAAACACAAGCTAATTTCTGAGAGATCACTTTAATCTTTACACCTTATTGTAAGGTTATAAGGTTATAAGTTATAAATAAGTCTAGTCCAATAATTTCCAAAACAAGAAAACAGAAAGTGTAAAAACCAAACTATGCACAATTCTTGAGTACGTTACTTACTTGAGGTTGTCTAATAGAGGAATGAATTTGCTGTGGGGGATTCAGTAACACAGACGGAGGTAAACATACAGAAACACTTGATTGCACGGTATCTAATTGTTTATTTGGAGATCCCTAAAATAATTTTAATATCTCTGTTTTAAATATGCCTACTCAAATTTTTTAATGATACTACCATACTTTGGATACTCGTCACTAACTCAAGTCAAAAACACAAACGCAGAAATAAAAAAAACCACTACAAAATACTTACATTAACAGTAGATGTAACAGTTTTAACTTTATCTTCATTGACTTGTATCCCAATGGTCCTCGAAGCAAGTTGCTTTAAAAGTGTATTAAGACTTCAAATTATTAATGTTATTACTAACGGAATACAAGGAGAAAGTATTGCACAAGTTAACGGTTAAGTAAAAAAAGAAGCTACATTTTAAATAAAAAACAACAAACGTAAAAACTCATTATCACAAACCTTTACAGTATGCGAATGAGCTTTTCTTTTCTCAAGTTTTTGATTTAGAAGAGAAAGTTCCATCACTGATCTCTCAAGATGTTTAGCAGTTTCTTTCCACAAGTTACTGGCAGTCTGCATATTTCTTGTTCTCTTGTTTAGTTTTTCTATGTGTACTTGTTTTTGATTTCTTATGAATGCTTTTACACGAGCAGTAATAAAGGTTTGTAGTGCCTGATGTTTTCAGAAAAATGAGATTTCAATACAAATTGTTAAGCTGGTATTATACAAAATGTGTGATTGCCTGTTAAAACATTCAATTAACTAAATATAATGAAACAATTTGAAAAACATGAGAGAAAAATTAAAATGTGCTGTTCATGAGAAATTGGTCTGAAAATGAAATAATCCAAGAATAAAACAACTTGGGAAAAAAATTATGTTTCTTTTACTTTTTGTATTTGTGGTCCGGGGTAAATATAAGCTACAAGCCGACCTGTGGCTAAGCATACAACGCTATTTAGTTGTTATATGTTATATTTTTCAATAATTCATAATTTGTGAATTCGACACTACCAATGCTGCAACTGAAAATATTTGCTTTAAAACACTATAAGTAGCTCGTGAAGGACGATACCCCCCTCCTCCATGAAAGCAGTCTCCTCTTAGTTACCTCCCCTAAGTTTCAAATCGTTTAAAAACTAAATTATCTGCCCCTAATAGCCGTCACTACAATTGTTAACATTTGGCATGAACCACAGCACACCAGACTGGTGGGGGTGGGGGCGAAATGCCTAGAGAGGAAGGGAGGGGGAGGCTAGGCAAGCTTACGTGGTGGTGTCCCGCATGGTCCCCATGTAGAGAATTATATATATATAGATAAGACAATCATACCTCACATGACAGTTGAATTGGAGATTCTAGGTATTTTGTTTCCTTGGCTTCAGCTGTAATATTTTTGTTTTCACTTGAAAGCTGATCTTCTGATTTAGCTTTCTTTGTGAAACTAGAAGAGCCATCCTCAGATAAAGCACGTTTTCTGATACTTTCTGGTTTTAACTCACTTTGAGTTGATTCTTTATTGTCTAGTTGAATATCAACAATACCTTCAGCATTTGTTGAACTCTTTTCACAGAGATCATTGTTTTCTGTTTCCATTTCCTCATGACTTGATCCTTCCGTTGCTTCGGTTGGCTTATTTGTAAAGGATTGCTGTAAAATATTTTTGAAGCTAAATGTATCCAGGCTAATATTTTGATTCCCTTCTTTGACAGCTAGGTTTTCTTCAGTTATAATTAACTCTGGATCATCAGAGCAGGGATTATTAGGTGTGATTTCAGTAAAACTGTTTTGAGAATTAGCTGATAAGTCATCAGCTTTAGAATCGTCTTTAGAAACACAACCAACAATTACAATGTCTAATTCAGGGCTTTCCGCTGTCATATCCGACTCACTGTGTATTTGTATATCCATTGACTCCTGGCTATTTTTATTATCTATGTCAGTTTCTCGAGCATCAAGTTTGTCTCGTTCACTATCTTCAGCTTCATCACTTTTATTACAATCTACATCTTCATTTATAATTAAAATTTCTTCACTCTCTGATGAAGTAACGTCATTATAATCAGTAGATTTAACAAAACTTGAATCAGGTACTGGTATTTGAGCCTGCTTATCACCTAAGCCATTAGCAACTTGTATGCTTATTTCCTGGTTTGTCACATTAGGTAGCTCGTCATTACCTTGAGCTAGCTCAGCAGCTGAGCCAGAGACAGCTGAAAGGAAAAAAAAAGTTTTAAATTAACACTACAAGCTTATGACACCTGCATCACACTTTAAATGTTCACTGCAGTTACAGCAGGTTTGCTTACTTTTTAAGCATATTTCTAAGCACATGCTCATACCAAACCTTCTGTCTGGTTTGAATACCTGATCTTTTCTCACCTTGTATATTTTCTGTATTTGTAACAGGTTTAGGTGAATCCAACTCAGTCATGGTCATGGAAAAAGAGTTTTTTTCCTCAAGGCTAGAACATTGTTCACTGTCTGTAACTGTCTTATCATCTAGCACAGTATCCTTGTCTAGAATGGTTTTATTATCTACAGGACTTTCATGAACTGTTTTATTTGTTGCATGATCACTGTTTGGAACTATTTGTATAGGTGAACTCTCTGCTCCATTTAAGTTTGATGTAGAGTTTAGAGAGTCATCAAGATCATTTTCTATTGGAAGTAAGATTTCAACCCCACTTTCCTCCCCAACCCCACTATTTTCATCTATAGGATTGCTATTTACTAGTAGCTCACTAGAGCTACCATGTTTAGACACTTTTTCTAATGACTCATCTTCCTTTGATTCCTTAGCTATATTTGGGGGAGAATCCTTACAGATTACAGGAGATATAGGACCTACAACAGTAGATGAGTTATTTCTTTCCTCTGTAAGTTTAATGTGGTTGTTGCTTTCAGGAGAAAGAGATGGGCTGGTTTTTCCATTTACAACTGACTCTGTATCAGTTGAAACAACTGAGGCTTCACTACAACCTTCAGAATTACTAATGAAAAAATCACATTTATTTTTTGTTGATTCCACATTTAAGTGGTTAATTTCTTTCATATTTTGAGTGATTGAATTTCCACCACAATCTACACTTAATAGGTCAGCCATGTAAATGTCTGATCCAGAAATTATTCATTAATACAGTTTAATCTTAGATATTGGCACATTTTATATTCTCTGGCTTTGTCACAATTTTTCTGTGAAAAAGAAAAGGTACCTTGATAATACAATAAAAAAATAATACAAACATGATAAATGCTGACTGATTTTCTTGTTGGATATTACTTTGAAAATTACAATGGTAAAGGCCTAGTGTTTTTTTTAACAGTGTATATTATATTTTTAAGTTAACAGTAGATGGATTAATGATTAGATCGCATGATGTGTAGAATCCTATAGAATCTATACAAATTATGCTATTTGCTTCCCTTAATTATTTTAGAAAAAAAAAAATATTTCAAAGGAAATTCCTCACTATCTACCAATATTAGATCTAGATTAGTATCATTAGATCAATACATTAAAAACTATCGGATAAACTACGTGGCTCTGATTTTAACTATATATATATATATATATATATATATATATATATATATATATATATATATATATATATAATATCCAGTATATATATTATATATATGGAGAGTATCATCTGTCTCTAATGACTAATCTAGACTAGAGATCTAGGTAGGACCGAGATTATATATATTTCTAGCCCTAACCTATTTGATGTAGGCTATATGTATATAATCAGTTTCAACAACATAGATGTAGTGTATGCTGTATCATAATTAAACAAAAATATTTTTGGTGAGCTAATTTAATGTAATAAAAAAGAGGCCGACTCATGATCTATTTTTAAAACTTAGATCTTAGGCATTTACGTACAAGCGCTTTCCCGCTTTCTGCGGACCCGAATGCTAAATGGGTCACGCTAGCTAGGGGTCGTATCGTAGTATTTTTTTTTAGATACTTTGTCTTTCCCAGCTAAATTGTGTATCAAAGCTTAATGAATATCAGTTACAAAATATTGAGTCATGCATATAAAAACTGATAAATAGATGATATACAGTTTACATATTCTAGATCTATATTTAACATTAATTTAAGGCACCATACAAAATAATTTTAGGTCATGGTATTTACAAAAGCCTTCATACACTTTTCGGTGTGGACGTTCTTCGTGGAAATTTATGCAGATCAATATCTTATTTTATTTTAATAATTAGTGTAAAAAAAGCCAGCATATTTTTAAAGTGGAGAAGATTAAGCAACAGCAAAAAAAAAAAAAAAAAGTTGAACAACGTAGGCCTATATGGGGACTAAATTTAGGCCTATTATTTATTTTTTTACGTATGTCTACGTTATATTTTAGTTCATAATTATTAATTATAGTCTCTCTATCTATATATATCATACATATATTGCATATTGTTGTATTAGGACCGCACGTTTCCGATAAGCAGTTTTGCCTAGCATTTGGCAGGTTGATCACACTCTACAGCTAGTCTAACAAAACATTTCAGAAACTGTCAAACGGAATTTGATAAAGATTTATTGTTTGTCGACGAGCGGCAGCTAAGTACCACAAAACGGAATAGTTTTATACTATGATAGCTTATATATATATATATATATATATATATATATATATATATATATATATATATATATATATATATATATATATATATATATATATATATATATCGTACAAGGCGAGGTTCTGTCCAGGGTATTATTAATAATTGATAAGAGGAAAGACAATGGTTTTGATGTGTAAGTTGTAACTTAACTGTAAAAACTGTTGGTTAACATTTAAAGTTTATTTAGTATTCACATAATATGTACTATTAATATATGTGTATATAATATATGTGTTAATATAAGTGTATTGTATTAGCAGAAGTACTGTTTTTCTCAAAATGTCTCACCCGGTCGGATCAGTTATGCTTTCGCGCTAAGAAAAAAAAGTTAATAGGCTCTTTCTCGAATGACGCCACTATTTTTTTTTACCTCCAATTCGTTAGACTACTACTTAAATGACCCGACATTACAGCCCCCCTCCAAGCTAATTTTTTAAAATTATATGAAACGTTATTACTTTTTAATACTGAATATATGTTAAGAAATCATGACTGATAATGTGTAATAGATCTAGAATATAGATTTATACTTTACAACAAATAAATAATAAATTGCTAAGGAAAAGTTTGGCGTCATAAATTTTATTCCAACACCCTTTCGTCACAACTGATCACTAAGCCCAATCTCCCAGCCATGAGTGACGTCATGTATGATATATATATATATATATATATATATATATATATATATATATATATATATATATATATATATGAGAATGATATATGTTAGACTAACTTAACCTTACTCATAATCTCATATATAGACCTAACCATAGGCATTAAACTTAGGACTGTGGATTAAAATTAATATTATTGGTGATATAGGCTACAGCTATGCGAATATGCGATCGAATGCAAAAAAATCATTATTTCCACAGAAACAATACATTTTATAATCTACTAAAGTGTTTTCGGCATTAATTTATAATTTATATGTTATAATAATATATTTCGCTGGCGCTATTTCTGATTGGCCTATATCCCCGTCAAGGCCCATACCACGTGACATCTAAAGGCGCGCAGGGAGCGTCTCATAATACTCTTTCAAAAAGCTGATGAAGAAATGACAATTAAGGTTAGATAGCATATCTTTTTCCTAATAGTTAAACATCAGTCCATATTTGTTAAAAAATTACTATTTTTTACAAAACATTTAATAAACAAAAAGAATAAAATATTTATTTATTTTTAAAATGGGAATACCCATTGTCGGAAGACGCCATGTTGATTGTTGATTGAATTGATACGGTTCTCTTAGCTAGTAACAGCGATAGCTGTTGGCCTTTTAACTCCGAATTATTAATTTTATGTTTAATTACATCTGTAAATAATAAACAACGATAATACATTTAAAACAACATGTTTATAACCACATATTATAACGTACTCTTAGAATACAGGCTATTACTTACTCATTTTAGCTTGCCTTGATGTGGTGGCCTATCTTTACACGCATGCGTAGAACGGCAATGTTACTAGGCACAGCCACATATCATTGGTTGAATTGGTATGTCAGGAACTCAATCATGATTGTTATGATTGAAATTCTAATTTTAGATTGGTAGTTTAAATGAAACAAAAATAGCTTATCCAGGAGCACTTTGTGATTGTACAATATTAGTAGCCTAAATAAGAAATTGCCGATTTCACTGTTCATCAATCACTTAGAATCTTTTTGTAAACAATTTCGCAGCTTCTAAGTATGTAGATCTAATATGTGTAGGCATTATTAAAAAAATAATTATGAACTACATTAATTGCTTGACAATGCAAATATCCTTCTATGTAATTATCCCGACCCCATCCTCCATCTTTTTAAAAATCTTTACGGATTAAATAGTCAATGCAATGACATCTAATCTGATGTAATATTGACATTTAATGTCCAAATCATATCACTATGATTTATAATTTAAATTTACAATGAGTAACAATGTATGCCTTTTTCAAATGTATGAATCGATTTCTCGATTAAAAAAAAATGACTATATCTATTTTATAATGTATATGGACGGACAGGAACCACTCCAGTACTGTACATTAGTGCCTTACAGTTTAGCCTAGAGCTTAGCCTAACGCAATATCGAGAGCAGACCAGTATCGATACGAACACACTAGGCCCTCCACATCTCAATCCGACGTGACCCAGTTTCTCGCTGCGAGCTGCGGTGTAAAGATTGCTGAATTCACTAGTACAATAATTCTGTGACAAAATCGGTTGTTGTGAATACGTTACACCGGTCGGCCTCACGTTTACTCACAACAAAATAACAGTACGGTAGTCTAGTCGTGTAATTTTTACAAACGGTGAACACTTTTTATGTTCATTAAAAACTTAACTGCTAGAAATAGAATAGCACCACATGTGATCTTTGCACGAAACTAAACTTGATTTACTTTTACAGTCGATGTTATAAAACTGTTTCTGTAGCCTATTCTATTATTAGTCAAACCACTCATGTCTTCCACACACAAAAGTTATTCGTGTAATCGAAAGCAATCGCTGAAAAAGAAGCTTCTACCTGAGCAAAAATTGAAAGTAAAGACGACAACAGACATTGTTCGGAAATTAGTCTATATTATACAATTACACCTAGATTTAGCTTAGTCCAGTTAAATCATGCGTGTATAAAACAACATTGTTATAGGCAACATATGCAAGACCATCTTCAATTAAATAAATAATTTTGTTTTATTTTCTTAATTATAGTCAATTTAAAAGCTTATTACAAATGTTGTTTTTTTACTTTTACTTTCTTGTATATACGAAGTATAGAGAAAGTATTGTAATCGTGCACAAAAATCACTTGAAATTTTAACAATTTTCACCGTATTACACCTGTCCTTGATCACAGCCGAAGTTTAGAGGACTTATTTTAATCGGGCAAAAATTATCAATCCAGATTTATCAAAACTAAGAGGGTTTATGCGTAATCCAGTCTGAAAAACTGGGCTTTGCAATTCTGTCCGTATGTCTGTGTGTCTATCTGTCTGTGTGTGTGTGTGTCCGTATGTAAACACGATAACTTGAGTACCGTTACAGCTAGGTTGATGAAATTTCATATATAAGTATTTTATAAAAATCGTAGATCCGTATCAACTTTTGAGCGATTTCCGATAACCGGAAGTGGTACTTTTTCTACTTTGAATTTTTCAAAAGCCTATAACTTGAGTACTATTTCAGATAGATAAATGAAATTTCACATGTAAGTATAAGATCTAATTCTCCACCTTCTGTTAAATTTTGAGTAACTTCCGTTGACCGGAAGTAGTAATTTACGCCACTTCCGATTTCTCAAAAAAAACTAATGTAAATTTTTAAAGTACTAATAATATTGCGCACTATTATGCACTCCATTAATTTGGCGTTCACTTGGTGTGCATTTCTTTTGTCTACGAGATTTTATTCTATTTTTAAAACTTTAATTATTTAAAATGGATTAAAAATCATGTCTATAGCCCGAGTTCCCATTCCCTGTTGTTTTATATAAGCATATTCGAGAAAGTTTAGGGGAGATCACTCCCGGTTTATTTAAATATTTGTTTTATATTAATTAATAGCGTCCAAAAAATGTGTGCCTTATCTGATTTTAGAGGGTAGTTTGAAATTCGCGCAAATAGGTTTAGTATAGTTTTTACTTTCTCGTATATACGTAGTATAGAGAAAGTATTGTAATCGTGCAAAAAAAAAATCGAGATTTTTACAAATCTCGACGTTTTACACCTCACTGATACGGAAAAACATAATTTTGCAATCTTGTCCGTATGTCTGTGTGTCTGTGTGTGTGTCTGTGTGTGTGTGTGTGTGTAAACACGATTACTTGAGTACCGTTACAGCTAGGTTGATGAAATTTCATATATAAGTATTTTATCAAAATCGTAGATCCGTATCAACTTTTGAGCGATTTCCGATAACCGGAAGTGGTACTATTTCTACTTTGAATTTTTCAAAAGCCTATAACTTGAGTACTATTTCAGATAGATAAATGAAATTTCACATGTAAGTAAAAGATCTAATTCTCTACCTTCTGTTAAATTTTGAGTAATTTCCGTTGACGGGAAGTACTAATTTACGCTATTTCCGATTTCTCAAAAACGCATCTAAATTTATAAAATATTGCGCACCATTATGAACATCTTTATTCGGCGTTCGCTTGGTGTGCAATACTTTTTCTATGAGATTCTATTTTATTTTATGTATTTAAAATGGATTAAAAATCATAACTATATCCCGAGTTCCCATCCCCTGTTGTTTTATATAAGAATATTCGAGAAAGTTTAGGGGAGGTCACTCCCAGTTTATTTATGTTCTATCTTTGGAACAATCTCTAACATGATATTGATCTATTAAAATAATTTGATTATAAGTTTGTTGGGGAAAAAGTCACAAAACAGTAGCATTTATCTGACGAGGTATCACTTTTTAAATATAAACCTATAAAACTGATATGCATAATAAACTCGGTATTGATAGGCCAATAAGGCTTTAGACACTACACTTAGGTGCAGGCTTGTTTAAGAAAGAAAATCGTTGCACCGATCATATTGCAGTATTCCAGATTACCCTAGAGCATACCTGAGAAATTTTCTTTTCATTGTGTGTACTTTAAATAAATTTTGAAAAAAAAGTATTTCATAGTGTAGACAAAGCAGTAGGCTAGTAGTATTGAAACGTATAAATCACTGTGGAGTTCCAGATATATTTTGTTCACTTATCCAAATAGCATACCACTACAAATAATGCAAAGTGATATACAATAGCTAATTATCAGTATCAGAAACATTTATAGTACAAATCGGAGTGAGACAATGGTATTTGGTAGACTAGTTGACTGAATGAAACAAACGAAATGGAACAAACGAAATGGAATCCAACGGTCACACCTGGTAAGTAGGTCACCAACCAGTTCTACGGCTCAATAAAACCTGCATGAGCCATAGAACTGGTTTGTGACCTACTTACCAGCCCTATTGCAGAGCTAATTGTACTGGTTGAACAAAAAAACATAAAAGCCGGTCTAAATTACAGGCATACCGAAACGACCATGACATGCTTTAAATTATCTAAATCAATGTGCAATTCAAATGCATTATCACGAAAACTAAACCAGGATCCGTGGCACAAACATGAAGTCTAGTTTACTGTATGGTACGGAGTTAGAAGGTAATATTAATAGACAGTGGAGAAAGGAAAAGGCTCAGAAAGACAGGTAATAACACCACTAGGTACACAATGGAATCCATTGGCAACGAAGAAGAGGGGGAGACCTAAAAGGTCATGAAGGAAATCGTTCGAAAGAGAGATGGTGGAGGTCGGATTGCTATGGGGTGAGATTTTAAAAAATCTTGTTCACGAAGTGTTACCTGGCCAAAGCTCACTGAACCGAAAGAAAGAAAAAAGAAATTAGAAGCGTTTAGAGGGGAGTTCGAAGAAGGTGCAAGCTAAATGGGTAAATGTTTGGTTTTGTCTTTTGGACAATATCGAAAATACTTACTTTACAGTTTTGGGATATTGCTGTTAATAGACCAACATTCGATTATCAAAGCAGTAGAAGCAGTGTTTCTTCCAGACTTTTTTCTCCGGGGGGGCACTTGAAATTTTCGGGGGGGGGGCGGGGGGCGGTAAACTTTCTTCGGGGGGGGGGCGGACACTGTTAAAAGTATATATTTTCTATATAAATTATATAAATTTCATTCCGTTCGGGGGGGGGGGGGGGGGGCGGTAAAATTTTTTCGGGGGGGGGGGCTTCGCCCCCCCCGAAGAGATGCCTGGAAGAAACTCTGAGTAGAAGTTTTCATGTTGTTCCCGTGTACAGAAGTTGTATCTCGTTTATTGGGCGAGCAAGTTTTTTTTTAAAATAGAGGCAATAGAGGGCAAGAAAGTCTTTTTGTATGGAGGGCGAGCGAATCATGTTGTATGGGAGGTCTTGTTGTATGTATGGTCTTGTTGTATGGAGGGCAGGCAAGTCTTGTTGTATGGAGGGCAGGCAAGTCTTGTTGTATGGAGAACGAACGAATCATGTTGTATGTGAGGTCTTGTTGTATAGAGGGCGAGCAAGTTATGTTGTATGGAGGGCAGACAAGTCTTGTTGTATAGAGGGCAGCCAAGTCTTGTTGTATGGAGGGCGAGCGAGTCTTGTTGTATAGAGGGCAGGCAAGTCTTGTTGTATGGAGGGCCGGCAAGTCTTGTTGTATGGAGGGCGAGCAAGTCTTGTTGTATGGAGGGCCGGCAAGTCTTGTTGTATGGAGGGCCGGAAAGTCTTGTTGTATGGAGGGCCGGAAAGTCTTGTTGTATGGAGGGCCGGAAAGTCTTGTTGTATGGAGGGCGAGCAAGTCTTGTTGTATGGAGGGCGAGCAAGTCGCAAGTCTTGTTGTATGGAGGGCGAGCGAGTCTTGTTGTATAGAGGGCAGGCAAGTCTTGTTGTATGGAGGGCGAGCAAGTCTTGTTGTATGGAGGGTGAGCAAGTCTTGTTGTATGGAGGGTGAGCAAGTCTTGTTGTATGTAGGGCGAGCAAGTCGCAAGTCTTGTTGTATGGAGGGCAGACAAGTCTTGTTGTAAGGAGGACAGGCAAGTCTTGTTGTATGGAGGGCAGGCGAGTCTTGTATAGAGGGCGAGCAAGTCTTGTTGACCACAAAACATGTTTTTAAAATAACATTTTCTTCCTAGGTAAAGCAAATCAATGAGTAGATCAAACAACATTCTTCATCAGGTTTTGGTTAGAACAAATGCCCATCATAAAACAATTCATACCATTTTATTTTCTCAACACATTCTAGACTGTATATTATATTTATTTATATTCCGGTATTTATCAATAAAGATTTCCAATGAAAATAAATCACTGTAGGGTTGGAAATATGCAAACAATACTAGCAAAAAAAAAAAAAAAAAAAAAAAAAAAAAAAAACAGCATTAAATACATTATGATGCCGTTTTGATACGTGCTGAACGATATGAGCATTTGGATTAATTTAGTTTTTATATGAAAAAAATCTTGTTCGTACCTCCTTGTTTAATGGTACTTGTTGGAAAATGGTGTTGACAAAATTTACTTAGCTGCTGGTCTACGATTGTAGCCAATGCTGTGCCTCAAATGATGGCTAGGTGACGATTTAGCCCGACAAATCTATCTTCACGCGTACACAACAAAGAGAGATAATTCGCGTGTCCTTGTTTTTAGAATCAGGTCTATCATTCATAACACAGTTTTACTACCGACATGGACATGAAGTAAACCTAGGCGGCATGTTTTCTATTGTTAGGAAATGAAAACATCAGAACGGTAACCGCTAAACGTGTAGCCTGATATTGATAATGATATAGCTTTGACCGATTTGGAACTTACCAATGTCATTGTAAAGTTGAATAAATTATGTACTTATTTTTCTTTACGGTAAAGTTGTGATAATTTTTTTTAAAAAATCTAGAATATATTGAGAAAAATGAGTGAACTGTTATAAGAGATTGTGGTAGTATAGGCGTGAGCAGGACGTTACCCCGTGTCAATTATCCCCCGACACTAACCTCGGGTAGATCTATCAATTAGCCCCCTTTATAATATATTAATACCCATTTGACGAAGGCGTGGTCGAATGATTGAGGTAGTACGTCACAGAACCCACATAGATCTAGCTCTGATAAGTGGTGGATTAAGGGGGGGGGGGCTGAAAGGGCAGCAGCCAGGGCCCCAGATTAAAGATTGTAAGGGGGCCCAAAGTCTGTTTACCAACAATAGTAAAATTTCTTTCCTACTGACTTTTGTTTCTGTTAGTTTAAAGATCGTTTGAATGGCTAAATTAAAAGCCATTGTATTTACCAAACAAAGGTCAGTCAAATATTTGTTACACATCGAATACTTTCACCCCCCCCCCTCCACGTGCTAACTGCAGCTGTCATCGTTTTCTGCTCAGACACTGAAATAAAACAATTTTATCCTTGGCACTCAAATGGGTTGATCAACCAGTAGGACCAAAAAAAAAAAAACTGAATCTTTTCAAAACAGTTAAGAAAAACTTGATTTATTTCAACTCTTGTGTTAATGATTGATTCGTCTAATAAAAAAAAATTACCATCTAGCGAAAGGACAAAGCATTTAGCGCTATAACTATAACCCTAACCAGTTGAAAAGTGTAGACCCTATAGGCCTAGACATGCTGGTCCGGCTGTCTGCACCGGTAGAAAATAGTACGTTTATAAAAGGTAAGAAGCATGTTTGAATGTGAGTTATTGAAGTTAAAAGGTAAGATAGAAATGTTTTTATGTACCCAATTCGATAAGAATTACAACCGAAATTAGATGCTGAGAACATCAAGAACACGGAGTAGATTGTGAAATTGTAAGGCCTAAGCTCTTTGATAGTGGCGGATAAAGAGAGGATGGGCTAAACTGTACGTCCCCGATTTTCAGGGGCTCCAAATTTTTACTTATGAACAGTAGTAAAAATAATTGAACTATCGATGGTTTTTTTTCTCTTTACAATCTAAACCGATGTTTTAATGTTCAAACTAAACTAAATGCTACAAAAAAAAATTGCTTTCTTTCTTTCCAATAAAAATCTACTGTTGTCACTAAGACAAAAGCGTACAAACGTTACAGTGCGAACCACAACTGTCATCGCTTCATGTCAGACGATGTTTAAGTGAGCTCTCAATTGTCATTTAAAATTTAATTTCTTATTATATAGAATCGTGTGTTCATGCACCTAAATCATAAATTAAAAAAAATGAACATCAAGGACATATCGAGTTTTTAGCTGTTATTTTTGTTACACTGCTAATTTTAGAAAAGTGGGTTACGTTATTGTTACCCGAGAGTTGTTTAAACGTAAACATGGTCGTTTAAACGTAGAATCTATACATTTATTTACATTATGTTTGCAGGATTAACTACATTTTGTTTTAATGACCTGAAACACTATTGACTATAATAGTACCACATGGACCCTAATGTGTCTTAATTAAATCAACATGGGTTGAAACAACCCACACCCCGTATGTACGTAAAAATAGATGACCCCTTAAACAAAACTTAAAATAGTTGAGATACAATGAAACCAGTTTGTAATGAAGACACGTTTTAATGACGTTTTATTACTTTAGGCTGTTGGCTTATCTATGTTCTGCATCGAGGAAGGGGTGTTGTAGACATGAGCCATCGGGAGCCATATTGACGGCAGCATACATGAACTGAGCCTTTGTCGGGCGCCCATTTGATGCGACTTTAAATGACAGCAGTCTTTTTACTGAGAGCCAGAAGTATTGAAGTTCATCTGTACAAACAAGCACTATACTTTTTAAAAAAGTCGGGTACTTTGTTTAGGGCCCAGGCCTATGCTTAAGGTTTTGAAGTTCAAGTGTTATTCTACAAACAAGTTAAATTTAATAAAAATCCAGTGGGGATATTCAAACCCCAATCCTTTTAAAACTTGCTCCACAGGAATTATATTTTTGAGAAGGGCATCAAAGACATACCTGATGCCCTAGCTACGCCACTTCTCAACAGATTATTTTTTATGACGTTCAGAAAAAACATATTTCACATTAAGTTGATTAAGGCTACATGAAACATGTAGTGTCAAAAAGTGTAGCCCCTTGATCTGGTGTAATGACTTAATAAAACTATAGCTATATGATGACATGACTTAATAAAACTATAGCTACATGATGACATGACTTCATAAAACTATAGCTACATGATGACATGACTTCATAAAACTATAGCTACATGATGACATGACTTTGACACTGAGGAGATCTACTCTCAGTAACATCACATTACATGATTTAACATATTAGAATATTTTAATCATAAGATCTAATGATGTATAGGTATATATCTGGCACAGGTGCAATGATTTTATTTAATATAAATTTTTCATTGCACTTAATGAGTCAACCGAAATATTTAAGAAAGGAGAAAGGAGGGTGAAAAGAGATAAACATTTATACTGAATTGCCTAAAAAGACTGTTTTGGGACCAAAATTGTACGCCTACCCATTTTAATTTAGTTTTGTAAAAAAAAAGGTAACAAGCTTGGCAAGTTTTACATAAGTTACAATTCAAATCACCCATAGTAGACCTATACTATAACCAAATACTTAAGCTAACCAGTACTGTAACACTGAACCAGTTTTAAATCTTATTCTAACAGTCTGTGTCATTTTGACCATCTGTTTTACAGAGAGAAGAGATGATGGAGAGCACATGAGATGGTGTTTTCCGATAAAATAAAATAATTGGCAGAAGATAGGAGTCATCCCATGCAGGATACACAGTTTTGTTTAAGGTTATAAAAGAGCATTATGATAAATATATACAGACTTAATTGTAATTTTATTCTTTTAAAAAAAAAAAGACGAATAACTAATGTTCTCAACACAGAGAATGTTTCTTCAGTTTACTGCAGAAGTTTTAGCATGGTTTAGACATTGATAAAGTTTTAGATAAAAAATAAAGCAAACAACAGTACAGTGATGAGAAAATGAGTGTTGGTTATGTGAGGACTTATTGTCTAAAAGGTGACAAAAAATGACCAGGATCTCTGAAGCTCGGATTTGAAACGACCTTGACCCTGGCCTCAGACAAGAGTTTCTGCACCACATCTGGTTCACTGAGGGAGTGACGTTTGGCCAGGTGGCTCTCCAGCTCAGGGTTGTTCATGAAGTAGGCGGAGCAATGCAGGCAAAATCTCATGGTTATCTGATGATAAACAAATGTCAAAATCTCAGGATAAATAAATGACAAAAGTTCATGGTTATCTGAGAAAAAACAAATAAATAGTAAAATCTTGTAGTTATCTGAGGATTAAAAAAATGACAAAATGTTGAACATAAAAAGTGAAAAAACATCACATGGTAACCTGGAGATAAATGACAAAATCTCATGTAAACTTAAAGATATATGACTAAACCTCAAAGTGACCTAAAGATAAATAATGACCAACTTTCATGTTGACATGAAGATAAATGATGACCAACTTTCATGTTGACATGAAGATAAAACACAAATGAAAAAATCTCATGGTGAACCCTGAAGTTTAGTACAAGACAAAATCTTATGGTTACTAAAGATAAACAGATACAAAATCTAATGGTGACATGAAGAAGAACAAATGACAAAATATAAAGGTGAACTGGACATAAATAAACAATAAAATCCAACCAAGTTTGTTGTGCAAACAACATTTAGAAAAATTTTATGATTACAACAGTAAAAAATAATTAAATTAAATAACATATTTGCTTTTGATTTACACAATTTTTAAGGACCACTTGCTAATTTACTAATTATAATTAAACTTGTGTAAACCTGTACGCAAGACAAAATCTTACATTGGGCTCATGAAAGATATTCCAGTGTTCTTGAAACGAAGCCTCAGTTTTGAAGAGCTTTGTGGCAGGACAACCTTCCACTGGGCACTGGCGTTTAGGAAAGTAGGCAAGCTGAATGTAATGAAGGGAGGGCAACTGTGTGGAAGTTTTACTTGTCAACATCTGGCTGTATTCCTGCTCACTGTACACTGGCACGCCATTATTGAGTGTCCTGGGATGGAGACATTTTAAAATGTTAACTAAGGTCTTTGTTCTAGTAAGGTAAAATTAAAAATGTTAAGGTCTGTCAACTAAACAATGTTTTTCTTTCAGACATATTTCTCCAGGGAGGAACTTAAAAATTTTTTGGGGTGGAGTGGGTGGGAGTGCAGACACTGGTTGAGATATATATTTTGTATACAAATTCTATTTTTGTGTGTGGAGATGCCTGAAAGAAACCCTGGATGTACTCAATAGCAAACTTATTGTTATGTTATAGAATGATTTTTTTAAACTGTGACATACAAGAGCATAGAGGAGAATACAGGAACACTGTTTGCAATACCCTTTAGGTAACGTATCCCCTGTTAGAAAGTTGTCAATTATCGGTTTAATACCTTAATACAGTGGTTCTTATCTTTACTGGAGCTACCAAACCCTTCCAGATTTATATGCACTTTCACCCAAGCCTTCGCAACAGTTCTATCATCACACTGACGAAACCTGATTATAAATCATATGACCACCGTCGAACCCCCAAAACTCACTGAACCCTTGGAGTTTGATCAAACTCAGATTAAGAACCATCGCCTTAAAATTTTTTTATTGACAATATCTGTGTTATACGTAGAAGAAATTGATCAACAAACTCTGTATTATAATATCCATTAGAAATGTACCACCAGTATCTGTTTTCTATTGCACCCACTAAAACTACTAGACAAGTGTGAACATGTGTTGAGGACACTGTACATCAACACTGGATGATTTACCTGGCCATCGTTTAGATACCACAGGACAAGTTTTGATTCAGGTTTGATCTAAGTTAGGTAGGTAGAGGGATCTAGCCAGAATGATAAGTTAAAATAGGTACAGGTGCTACAATAATAGCAGGCAGTACCAGCAGTATAAAAAGTGTTGTCTTAGCAATCAAGTAATTATGTTAATATAGTTACATTATAGATTTACCTTCCAGGGGTAATAGGGCGTGCCTCTGGAGTTTCCTAAGAAGGGATGAGAAAAAAAAACATCCTTCAATTTGAAAAGAATGACTATAAAGAAACTGTTTAAATTAATTTGACTAAGAATTAAGCAATACTTTCTCAAAGGTTTTTTAACAGAAAACTTTCAATTTAATTAAGATAGGCAGTGTTTAAAACACATTTCTTATCTGACAGTATAATAAATGGTCTACCCAATACATACCCCAGCCTTTTCTGTTAATGCACTTCCATCATTACTCTTAGAACTAAGAGTTGTCTTTTCTTGAGCTTTCCCCCCTCCAGTTATTTCCCTTGTCTCCTGTTTACATGCCCTTGGTTCACTCTTGTCCCCACCATCTGCCAGAATCTCTTCCTTACCAGCCAACATCTCCTCCAGCTCACTATCTATCCCTTCCTTTATACCTTCTTCCATCTCCCCCTCCCCAGCCTCCCTGATCCTCCTCTGTAAATCCTCCATCTCCTGCTGCTGCCTCTTGACCATATACTCCTCTTCTCTCCTCATCTCTTCAGAGAATTGATCAGCACTGTGCTCAGTGGTTTCAGTGTCAGATGGACCAACTGTCCAGGGGTCAGAGGGTTCCTCTGCTGAGTTACCTGCAGTAGATTTCTTTGTATCTGACAAAGACTGCTGGAGCAATGCTAACTGAGACTGCATCTGTACATAGAAAAAAGAAAATATCAGACATCTTAAGAATAATATTTTTGAAAAAAAAAGTGATTTTTTTAATGAATTAAAATAAGTTAAAAAAAAACAAAAAACCTATAATAAGCTGATAATAATGGTTTTGTTGTATTAATTTTATTTTGTACTGTTTAGAAATTATAAATTTTAATAACAAAAAAAAATACAAAGTGATTATTTTCGTTTTTAAAAACAATTAGTACTAACAATTAGTACTAACAAAGAGTATCTAGTTAGATTAAAAATTAGAAACTCTTGCATTGTCATCAAAGATAAATGTACCTGGCAAGTTTTAACAAAAATCACTGAATAAGATTTGGGTAAAAATGACTGATGAGCACATGTGCTGCTTGCAATACATGTACACTCATTACACTGCTTATTAAAATATGATTTATTTCCAGATCTCATGCAATCATAACGCAGATTGCTAGGTTTAACTACCTTAAGACTCTCTTGCCACATCTTATCAGTACAAACCTCTAATATTTTCAGCACACTTGGGTTGTCTGTGCCGAGTTTCTTGAGTTTGTTGAGAGATTCCAACATACCGCTACAGACATCCAAGGTCATACTAGAGATGTCTTCGTCTATATCTGTTGGTTTGGGGCTTTTTTTGGCTGCTGATGTGCTGTTAGAATTCAGGAAAAGATGCATGTTTATAAATATAATTTTGTATTGAAATGGGTTTCCTACATCAACAACTAAATTTAAATGTGTAAAAAGATATATTTAATTTATGATAGATTTTTTAATATTAATACATTGTTTTTGGTATCAATTTTTTCTATTTCCCTCAAATTTGCTGTCATAAAATTTTGGTTGAATGTTGAAGACATTATTTTTAAAAGCTTTACTAAGGGTAGGTGGTCAAATTTTGTAAACTTAATTTTGACTCACTTCTTACGCAGTATTTTCTACGTTCCTGATAAATTAGTTTCAGATGACAATGCAAGAATATCTTATTTTTAATCTAATTAGATATTAAATTGGAAAGAAAAATAATTATTTAATCAGCTGATTTCAACTATGATTTCAAGCTTTAGAACCGACAACTTTTTAGTTATTAATCAGGCATTGAAGCATATATTTCTAGTCATGCAGGAAGACAGCATAATTAAAATTAATTAAAACAAAATTATTAAATAAGGTACTAAATTCATTTAAGTTTAACTATCTGCTTACTCTTATATCTTTTCTTACAATATTTGAATACCAACATGTAGAAAATAAAAAATTTTTAAAAACTTTTGCAATAATTAGCTTTAAGAAATAATAGTAAAAAAAATAGTTCGTTGCAAAATGTATAATTTTTTTACAAAGACTATTGTTTTTTATTATTACTATAATAACTCAAAACAATTTATATTCATTTTCTTAATTTTAGTGCATTTAAAAGCATATAATTATTATTGTTTTTAATTCCTATTTTGTTAGATTTTTTCACCTACATTTGGTCTTTGTTAGAATTGTCCACACTTGCAAGCTCTGTTGTTACTGGTAGGCTGGGTTTAGCTTCTGTTAAAGTTAAAGTGATATAATTAAAATTAATTTCTTATTTTACAATACTAATTTAGAAATAAATAAAAAACACCTACACGCATAAAGGACAATAACTGTTATAAGTAATTAAATTTTCTTTTGATCAAAACTTTTATTTATAATTTGTATGATGTGACATAATTTGCACAGAAAAAAGAAACCCTGTGATAAAGCTTTTAAAAAATAATAATTCTGTACTTTAAGCAAAATACAATGTTTAAAATGTAATTAAAATAGGTACAAATCTAAACCATCAAAATAAATTTAAGCAAACAAATATTTTTGGATGTATTATGGATTTTTTCAGAAGAGTAAGCAAAATATAAAAACATAACATAGGAAATCTCTTGAATTCATACCTGGCTGTTTGCGCTTGTAAATAATGTTGATAGGCAAACTTTTAAAGATGTAATCTGTACAACAATCCAATAAGGCCTCAATCCATGCATGGTTGGGATAGAAGATATTGTAAGGACTGGAACATATAAAAAAATATATTCAGCTGAAGTAAATACTGGATTTGTTAAGCTGAAAAAAATATTTCTGAGCAATGTCTAAAATGTTACTTTAGAGACCATTTGAGCTTTATAGTATAGATATATAGTATACCAGATAACCCAGTTATCTGTTGGATAACTGTCCATGATGAAACTAAATAAAAAAGATATTTTTAATTATATTGAAAAAAAAAAGAGAAAAAAAAAATAATGACATTTTTTTTACATATTTAATTAAACTTGGTAAATTTTAACTGTCTTTTATAAAATCAGGTAGGGACAACCATTTTAATATTTTCATTTTCCTCTACACAACTGTTAGATTTTAAATTCTAGATCTATTACGGAAGTGCTGATCTCAAAATAAAAAGATGTAGTAAATAAATTATTCAAATTCAAAATCTTAGTTTAGTTTAGGCACATTCTTACATAAAATAATACAAATAATAAATACTATATTACAATTAAATAGAACTACTATTTGCTTAGCTGCAAATTAAAAGACGTAAGATAAATTACAGTTACATATACCATAGAATAGGGAAATTTAAGACAAAAAAAATTAAATGCCTTATTACCCTTTGTATTCCCCTGTACATTTGTTGGATTCTAACACAATACTTTTTGTAAATGGGAAAACTGTTTTTATCAGGAGTGGCGATATAGAAGATGGAACTTTTTCTATCTGGAGAAATTCTTTGACTTCAGGTTTAGCTTTGTTGGGCTCTATGAGGAAAATATGAGATTGAAATTAAAAAACTGATTTAAAAAAAATAATACTAATGGTTTTCTTTGAGGTGAAGAAAAAGTTAGTTTTCTAATAAATTGATACATGCTAAACATCAAGCTTTATATAGTTAAAAATAACAATGTAACTACATGAGAAAAACTAATTTATATGTAATCTATTGATTGTTTTAAAGCTTAATGCCTTGCAGAGCTTAAAAATAAAGCAAGTTACTTTTCGCCAATCATTAAAGTGAGAAATTTAAGACGAGGAAACTGATTATTTTCTATCAGATCATACAGAAAATAAATTATTGTAAATTAATTATACCTTCAGCTGTTTTGATGAGCTTGTGCAGTTTTTCAGTTTTGTCCAACCACAATACAAATGACACTAGAAATGAAGATTTTTAAAATAATTACTTCGCTTAATGAACAATTGTATTATTCCCAGCAACACACCATGAATGCCAACTTTAAAATAAAATGTAAGCTTATTTTGTAAAGACTGCTCCACCTTTTCCTTGCACAAACAAGAAATATATAATTCTGGTATCAAACAAATAAGTTTAAAATGGATATTGAAAATATAAAATCTTAAAGATTGTATAAGTGTAGTAAAACATCTTTAAATAGTTAACATTACTTTTTGGAGTTGGATTAAAACAGGAAAAAGTGCTGAGCACTTAATATTTATAAGATAAAACTTAACAGTACAGGCATGACTGCCTTTATCAATACTGGTGATTATTATAACATTTTAAATATCCAGCTGATCAACCTCCTTCCTCTATTCATTTCACACCTGGCTGACAATCACTTTTATTTTACTTACAGATATCAGGCGATTTCTTGCCTTGACAATATGTGATTGTCACTTCACAGCGTTTCTCTATCAACTTGGTTTCAATAAGTTGTTGGATGAAGGACTGGACTTCCAAGGACTTTGAGAAGTAGGACTCTGCATACCTTTTGTTAAAGATTTAAACCTAATTCATTTGAGGAAGAAGATAATGTTTCATACTTTTAACCAATCAAATCCAAGCTAGCTAGTAACTGTATAAAGTTTACCCTTTTTTCTTCTTGAACTTCCCTTGGCGTTTGAAGTAAAAAGCTAAATTAGGCTGAGTTTCAAGTAATTTTTGGACTGATACTTCAGCAAGATCAGCTAGTTCAACAGGACTAAACTGTACAATAAACTTGTCCCCTGAAATTAAACAAAATAACTGTGTTATTTACTTTTTTTTTATAAGCCCAACAGTAATGTTGGTGGTGGTATTGCTTAAGTCAGAACTAGGGTAAAGGTTAAAGATAAGAGATATGGCCAGTTAGGATAGCAATACTCAGCAAAAACGTAACTTCGATATTGTTCAGCAGGGATTTTAGTAAACTTTTACTAGCGAGAATCATTAGAGCTTTTTTTAATTACAGTTTTTCAGTCCTAATTTTCAACAAAAATGTATTTTAATAAATATCAAATTAATGTTTTTATAGGGTAATTTTGATTCCAAAGTGTATTTTTAAATAGATTTTTAAAATTCAAGTGCTTTTAGATACACAATATTTACATTTTTCATGGCAGAAACCTTCAATTTAGTGTACTAAATAACCTCCTTAAGTTTCATGATGATCGGATTTTTATATGTAGAGACAATATGTTGCATTTGTGCGAAACTTACCCATTCGAGGCATCATCTGTTGTCTAACATCCTCCATCATTTCTTCAACCAAGTAGTTGTCAATGTTCCGAAAATCATCTTCGGTCAACGAAGGTAGAAATTTAACATTAGTAATTGTCTCATCCTTATCCTCCACTTGTTTAGATACATCTTCTAGTTCCGTCAACTCACCGTCTATTGCCATTAAAATGTCACTTTCATTTTCTAACTTTTGTACTTTAGCTGGTACCTCCCCATCTGTCTGATTACCTGGTACCTCCCCGTCTTTCTGATCATCTGGATGCTTCAGCTTGTCTAAGTTTTCAGGCAAATCACCTGTGCTTGGTTCTGTCCCTTTTGATAGAATTCCTAAGCTACTAAGTCCAGACCCATTTTCATTTCTCATATTATGAGTTCGTTTGTTGTCTGGTTGTTTTGATTTGTGATCTGTTTCGGGCTCCAACTTGCTGGCAACCGAGTTAGAAGAATCATTGAGCAAGTTTGAAGCTGAAGCTTCAAAAATATTTCTGCTTTGGCTGGATGCAGTTTTCTGCTTATCTGAGCTTGTCTTTGAACTTGACTTTTCTCTGGAGCTTTTCCTGCTCAAGATTCTGCTGTTTCTTTTACTTTCATCTGATTCAAATAGAATCGTCCATTCACTCATGTCAGCATCACCAACCAGTTCCTCGCCCTCCACTTCCACAGTTTCTAAGCTGTTTGACATCTTTAGAATCTACAGTTATATACAATACAAATAAGTCAATAAGCTAAAAAAAAAAGTCTTAAAAAAAAACAGAAAAAAAAATGCATGCATCTTAAAATAAGAAAAAGTAGCTGATATACTATATGTCATATTCCTTTCTCTTTATTAAGTTAAGTCAGGTTGATGTACTTAGATTCTTGCTTGGGCTGGATCCACTCAGAAATTACTGATGCCAGCAATAAGATTTATAATCTAATTAACGGAATTACAGATGAATTGCAGGGCACAATTTGCAAGACATTGATTTTATGATTTTGACTTTATGCTTGTCTTGGTTGATATTTTAGAGAAAAGGTATTGTGTTCTTTGCTCAATAAGAGAAAAATCCTGTCACAGCACAATGTGATCCTAGTCTATGAACTCTATGTACTTAGACTTAGAACTAAATAGTAATGTGGGTCTAGGCCTACTAACAATTACTAATTCATTCATTCATCAAACCAGTAAGAATTATTACCAATAAATTTTATCAAATTTGAAAGTGTTTTTGAACACAGTGGACAGAATAAAAAGAAGTGAGCAATCTTCAGCACATTTCGAGGTGCTGTATTAAACGGTACAGTGATTCATAGGACTTAAGATTAATGTCAAAAAACCATGGTTTAGCCACAGTAACTAATGAGTCAAAAACCCAACAAACATTACCATGTACATATCTACATTCTACAGGGAGATTACCTAGATTAAAAATAAGCTTAGTTTTAATCTTAAGATTAGTAAGTTAAGACAATTATTAGGCCCTATGTCTAGGCTTAGGACTTAAGGTTAGTCAACTCAACAGACTCAACTGAATTTGAGTACCTACAGCAGTCTCAGACTCACAGTGACTGGGTGACAGTCAATCTGGTGTTGTCTGTTGAAGTAGTAGGGGACTATAGATAATAAAATAATAAATAATAAGAGCCTAATTAATAGTTTCAATAGTTTTTCAGTTTTGTTTGGTGAAGAGAAACTTAAGATAGCTATTATTAAATATTAAAGAACAGTGACTTTATATCCGATAATCTATCTATCTATATAAAATCTATCTATATCAAATTCGCAGGGGTGGGGTCCTGGTAGGGCACGATTTGTTTTTTCACTTTATACGGTATATAAAAAATAAAAGTCGATTGCCGTTTCACACCGTTCATCCGATCCACATCAAACTTTAGGGAGTTGATCAGAACACCCCATATGAGGTTTCTGTAAAAAAATCTTTTTAATTTCAAAAGGGCGGCGTCATGGGAGGGTGCGATTTTTCTCTATATACAGTATATAAAAATAAAAGTCGATCGCCATCAAAGTTTGGGGAATTGATTAGACAACCCTAGGTGAGGTTGCTGTAAATACATCATTTTTAATTTTGCAAGGGCTGCACCCTGGGAGGATGCCATTCTTCTCTATATACAATGTATTCAAAATGTCTGATGCGGTTCGACACCTTTTATCAGAGTGCCATAAAACTATAGGGAATCCATGAATACTCCCAAGGTTTCTGGAGGGAGGGGGGATTTAATTTTGCATGGGCGGCCCCCGGCAGGATGCAATTTGGCGCCCTGGTCTTTCCCATGAGCGCTATGGCAGCTACGATAGTTCTAAACAGTGTGATAGACAATGGATAAGACGGGGTGTTATAGGTGCTCACTAAATTGAATCAGGCGTGCCCGCTGGCGGCCTGGTAGGGTGCAATTTGGCTGCGAAAAAAAATTTCAGCTTCGTCCCACAAAGGTGGTCACTGAAGTGTGTTCTATGCTACCTCATTATTTCAGTGAGTGATTAACGTACACTGAAGGTTTTCATGCTGTAGTGTAGGTAAACCCGTGTCGCAATATTTAATTATTTATGATTCAAGCACAGGCATTGTTTAGGCTACATTTAAAATTTTAATAACTGTTTTAGAAAACAAGGTCAGAATATCAATATAGTTATATATAGGACTGGTAACGCATTGATGAAACCCTTCTTATTTTGACAGACTTTTTCTTCTATTCCCGCGACAAAGCGAGGGTACGGTTACACTTACACCGTTACGCTAGTAAAAAATAAAAATTTGATTTAGATCTAGATTCTAGATCTAGACTAGAACTGGAGTAACTTGACTAACTAGATCTAGAATCTATTCACCTATGAAATGCATTGGTTATTACCTAATTATTAATTAATGCTAATGCCTAAATCTCTCTAAATTCTAAATGCATTGGTTTACATTTACTGTCATTTAGGCCCTACAGTTTACAATACCTTAGGCCTTAGTGAGCCTTAGTGTTTTGTTTTATTATTTCTCACAGCTGTAAAATTGTGTTTTCGTGTACCATGTACTGTTATTTAAAAAGAAATCCAGAAAAGACAAACCAATTTAAAAATTGAAAAAAATTGAAATTTTTTGGGAGGGGGGGGGGGGGGGGGGGGGGGCGGTAGAATCCCCCCCCCCCCCGAAGAGATGCCCGGAAGAAACTCTGGCGCCTTTAGGGACCAACATTGAAGAAGAGCAGCCGCTGTCACTGATGATATGGCGATCCGTTTTCATCCAACTCATTGTACACACGAGCAGTGGCGTCGCAAGGTTTGGTGCGATAAGTCACCCCCCCCCCCCCATTTCATTCAACAATTTAGCATTTTCAGTTTGGTGTCACCCCTTCTACCCCTACAGTTGTGTTATTTTAACTGTACAAAACATTGCTTTCAGCAAATGTTACGATTTCTTTTTTGTCGTGGTTATCACCCATTGGTGTCACCCGGTGCGGACCGCGCCCTCGTACACGACTTGTGACGCCACTGCACACGAATACTGCCCGTGACCATCTCGATTTATTTCTTATTTATAAGGTGAGGAGGTAGGAAGGGCGCTGGTTTAAAGTAAAGTAACCGTGTATTGTGTGTTGCCTTAATAAAGGCAATAACATATTTTTGAGTTTTCCGCATTTTTTTTTTATTTTATAAGATTTGATTCTTAAAATATTTTTGATTTTTTTCCCAGCTTTATTATTTTATAATGTTTTTTCCCCCGCGGGAACTCAGAAGTCGAAATGTTAACAAACAGGTTTATGGTCACAGAGAAAGATAAACGCTGCTTCATCAGCCCGTCGGATAAAAATAAAAACAACAAAACAACAAAGACAAGAGACGGGCACGCAGCCATTGCGAGCCAGACAAAATGTTTATGTGATCAGCTTGTTGTTCTTCACCCAGTGAATGGGTGGGATGTTGATTGTTCTTTACCCGGTGAATGGATGGGATGTTGATCGTTCTTCACCCTGTGAATGGGTGGGATGTTGATTGTTCTTTACCCAGTCAATGGGTGGGATGTTGATTGTTCTTTACCAATGGGTGGGATGTTGATTGTTCTTTACCAATGGGTGGGATGTTGATTGTTCTTTACCAATGGGTGGGATGTTGATTGTTCTTTACCAATGGGTGGGATGTTGATTGTTCTTTACCAATGGGTGGGATGTTGATTGTTCTTTACCAATGGGTGGGATGTTGATTGTTCTTTACCAATGGGTGGGATGTTGATTGTTCTTCACCGATGGGTGGGATGTTGATTGTTCTTTACCCAGTCAATGGGTGGGATGTTGATTGTTCTTTACCCAGTCAATGGGTGGGATGTTGATTGTTCTTCACCCAGTGATTGGGTGGGATGTTGATTGTTCTTCACCAATGGGTGGGATGTTGATTGTTCTTCACCCAGTGAATGGGTGGGATGTTGATTGTTCTTTACACCAGTGAATGGGTGGGATGTTGATTGTTCTTTACACCAGTGAATGGGTGGGATGTTGATTGTTCTTTACCCAGTCAATGGGTGGGATGTTGATTGTTCTTTACCCAGTCAATGGGTGGGATGTTGATTGTTCTTTACCAATGGGTGGGATGTTGATTGTTCTTTACCAATGGGTGGGATGTTGATTGTTCTTTACCAATGGGTGGGATGTTGATTGTTCTTTACCCAGTCAATGGGTGGGATGTTGATTGTTCTTCACCCAGTGAATGGGTGGGATGTTGATTGTTCTTTACCGAGTGAATGGGTGGGATGTTGATTGTTCTTTACCGAGTGAATGGGTGGGATGTTGATTGTTCTTTACCGAGTGAATGGGTGGGATGTTGATTGTTCTTTACCGAGTGAATGGGTGGGATGTTGATTGTTCTTTACCGAGTGAATGGGTGGGATGTTGATTGTTCTTTACCGAGTGAATGGGTGGGATGTTGATTGTTCTTTACCGAGTGAATGGGTGGGATGTTGATTGTTCTTCACCCAGTGAATGGGTGGGATGTTGATTGTTCTTTACCGAGTGAATGGGTGGGATGTTGATTGTTCTTCACCCAGTGAATGGGTGGGATGTTGATTGTTCTTCACCCAGTGAATGGGTGGGCCGTGGGATGTTGCCAGTTTCACCATCGCGCACATTGCGTCAAATGTGTGTGTACAGGGGAGGGGGTAGGGTGGGGTATTACCTGATTACTCCCTCCCCCACCAGGTAATAAAATATATTAAATTCCATGTCTGTAAGCTTAATCCCACCGTCCGTCCTCCGCTAGAAAACAAACCAAGCATGACTTTCAGTTGTACAATGTGTCGAGTCTATGCATATCGCTGAGTTATGTGTTGATATTATACTGGGTTTTCCAATGTTTTCCCCCTTATTATATTTCACCTATCATGACTTTAATTTTCTAAAAAAAAAAATAATTCCGCCTTTTTAATTAATTGTAGCCACGCTATCGATTGCAAACCCCCCAGAATTTGGACTATGTCTTCTTAAAAAAAAGGAAAACCAAGTCAGTATACAAAAATCAAGTATACGCTGTATTGTAAACAAATCAAGATTTCAACTCGACATACACAACATTCGCAACTAATGCATAGTGGGTTTAAACAGGAAGGGAATTCTGTCAATTTTCCACTGGTTATATTCGTGAAGTTTTTTTTTTTACTTGAATGGGAACGTCACGTGGTTCATGTTGGGTGTCAAATACTACCTTCACTTATCTTCGTGTTCGTTATTTATATCATCTGCACTAATCTCGTGTTCGTCATTTATATTATTTTTAGTTACCCCAGTGTTCGTCATTTTCGTTTCTGTTCGCAGCGCAGATAGGTAGGTTATGAAGCTTTTTATTAAATAATTGTAAAATATTATAAAATATAATTCATTATGTTACTTAATAATAATAGGGCCTACTCAGCAGAGGCGTAGCGACCCTTCCCGGCGCCCGGGGACAAACTTTCAATTTGGCGCCCCCCCCATATATTTTAAAATTTATAATGGGAAACTGCAGCTAAAATGAGCTTTTAGATTTTTTTCAACCCATTTTGGCGCCCCCTAGGGTCGGCGCCCGGGGACATATGTACCCCCTGCCCCCCCCCCCCCCCCTTCGCTACGCCTCTGCTACTCAGTGAATTATCCATGCATAGTCAATTGGTGTATTAGACCTCGATTTGTTTACGTGTTAGAACGTCGTGTAGTTTTAATTGAGATAAGTTAAATAGAGCACTCGTTTATTTTGCGTTGAGATGCAATAGATTATAGAGGCGCTTATTTATATCTCGATGTTATATCATAAAACTGAAAAACTCTAATAAAATCATAAAATATATCATTTACACGTGTGAACTATGCGTTTCAATTTACGTGTGTTAATTTGGGAACAAAGTTATAGAGGCATTAAAAAGGTGTTAGTTTTCACACCTTTTCGTAGTTTCCATGGCAACATAAAATGCTATAGGCGGGTATATACTATTTTTCTCTACAGGTTAACAACTATTTATTTATGAATGTATTAACCACACTTAAACATGTTAATATAAATTAAAAAGAAATCTGTAGTGTCTGGCCTTAAAGTTAAAAAATGTAATGCTAGCTAATTGGTAAACATTCCCCGCCCCCTCATCTAGCTATACTGCGCGCGCGCGTGAATCTAAACGTAGTTTAATTAAAGTAGGCTTAATTATATAGATTAGCAGTAATTTTAAATTATTAACGTTTAAAGTAAAGTGTAGGTTTATTATTTTTCCCAAGATGCTGAGGTTTAATGTATTACACTTTTATAGAGCAAATGTGGAGGGGCTTATTACTGGTGGGTGAGTTTAATGGCAATATTGAATGTCAATTTTTTTAATGACCCCCATGCATTGAATGTTAAGAATGTACCCCAACAGTAACCGACCCTTGCATTGAATGTTAAGATTGCACCCCTACAGTTAGTGACCCCATGCATCGAATGTTAAGATTGTACCGATACAATAAGTGACTCCATGTAACGAATGTTAAAATTGTACCGATACAATAAGTGACTCCATGTAACGAATGTTAACATTGTACCCTTACAGTAATTGACCCCATGGGTTAAACAAGATTATCCTTGCGGCATGTACCAAATGATCAAAGACAGATTTGAAGATGTCACCAGCCCCACTTAACCCTAACACTTATCCTTGACGCTCTACTCAAACCACCAAACACATCGCGCTCAGCAAGTGTTCGAACATGAAATCATTGTTCTTACATCGCCCACCCTCACAATTTTTCACATCGCTCACACACTATTTCACATCACCCACCCCCACACTATTTCACATCGCACATATACTATTTCACATCACCCACCCCCACACTTTTCACATCACCCACCCCACACTTTTCACATCACCCACCCCACACTTTTCACATCACCCACCCCTACACCATTTCACATCACCCACCCCATACACTATTTCACATCACCCCCACACTATTTCACATCACCCACCCCTACACCATTTCACATCACCCACCCCCACACTATTTCACATCACCCACCCCCACACTATTTCACATCACCCACCCCCACACTATTTAACATCGCCCACCCACACACTATTTCACATCGCACACCCCCCACTATTTCACATCACCCACCCCCACACTTTTCACATCGCACACCCCCACTATTTCACATCACCCACCCCCACAATATTTCACATCACCCCACACTATTTTACCACACTACATGACATCCGCCATTATTGAAATCATATCCTGCTGTAGATCACACGCGTGTTGTGTGTTGAACACATGACTGAGTTATCACGTGACTTGATTTATGCAGGATTTGACTTATACGCGACCCAGTTTACACACTAGCTTATTATTCATGACAAAATTACACATGTGAAAATTTACACATGACAAAATTTACACATGACAAAATTTACACATGTGAGAATGTACACATGACAAAATTTACACATGACAAAACTTCCATATGACAAAACTTCAATAAGACAAAACTTAAACATATCAAAACCAACACAATATCAACACTAAAACGTACATTACACATGCATTAACTTTCAAATTACTTGACCTATAAACGACATAAAAATTTCAACAGATTTTACACACTTCAGACAAAAAACAAAAACCCACATCAAAACAAATGCTATTCTTAGATGGTCACAAGTAAACCCAGACATAAACCCGGTAAAATATGCTTTTTTTTCCAGAAAAAGTTTCAGCTAAAGCAGATGGGTTTAAGTTCCGAGTTCTAAAGTATCATATCCACTTGTACTTGTGTATCTTAGGTCAACAAGTATAAATATAAAAGTTGTCGTGGAGCGACAACTTGTTGACATGTGCATTGACCAGTGGCGTAGCCAGGATCGTCTCAAGGGGGGGTTCCAATTTTTACCCGGGAACAAGCTTTCGATTATGAACCCCCTAAACCCCCTGCCTACGCCACTGGCATTGACACAGTCCTCTCCCACCCCTACGTACGTCATTGATTTCTAAAAAAAGCTAACGAAGTTACATTTGTTTGTTATCTACGTAACTGTTTCTTATGAACTAGTTTCTGATACATTGACGTCAAAGGAAGATAGCGTTCTGAAGATCAACCCTAACGGCGCTTTAATAATAATAAACACCCTTTATATAAATGTTTAAACTATAGAAGTTAATTTTAACATTTTAAATTTGGAACATTTCGTGTGAATTCTGGTGGTCAAACAGTAGAGCGATCAAGTTAACACAATAGTTTTGGGTTCGGTTCCAGCGATACATTGCTACCTTTGATTCAGCCAGCTTTGATCTAAGTCGAGGACCATTTGTTTACGGGCTGGTGGAGAAGAAGAAAGCGGTTGGTGAGTTCGATCTGTTTGGTAGACCTAATGGGGTACGTTTGGACAGTGGCGTCGCGAGGTCTGGTGTCACCCGGTGCAGGGCCTCATGGTTTCACCTTCCCCCCTCCAAATCATTGAATCATTGATTGAACTGGCAAAATATTTTTTTCTATATGGTGTCCCCGTACCCCACCCGCCCCTTGCCTCGCGACGCCCCAGCAGTTGGACACAGCCCTACGTATCCAGATGATTAGGTTAAGTGTTTGAGAACCCGGATTCGAACTCGGGACTTTCGGGTTAGTAGTCTAGGGCCACGCCGTCCCATGTGTAGGGTTATACATCATCATAAGTACTAACCCACTTCAGTATTTCACTAAAACTTAAGGTGTACTGTTGTTAACATTGAATATAAAAAAACAACAACCCAGCAACAATAATAATACCAATTGATTTTCCACGTTTAGATCTAAGTTGACCAAAGTGAAGATGGAATCTTTTCCCTGTACCAGTTTACGGGGTCAAAATATGTGATAGCTTCCAGACATCACACGTCCATTCCAGCATAGCCTACTTGTGGTTCCAAGCTCCCGAACACAAGATGGAATTTGTGGTCGTCTGCTTCTGCCTGTTCCTTACCGGAAGTGTCTCGTCACTGTCTGCTTCCTCGTCTGCGACACACGAGACAAGCCATGTCTCACCCTCGTCTGATTTTGGGAATAAAACCATGCACGTGCTCAATGCAGATAAAAAAGATGGAATAGAGTCTAAACGTCAGAAAGGAACGAAACAAAATTTAGGTATGTTGATAAGCGATAATAAAGTTACGCACCATGATAAAAGTGATCACCAAAACCCCACAAAACTATTGGCAGAGTTATCACAATATAAAAACGACAGCTGTTGTAAAATCTATAAGGAAAATGTCATTATTGCTGACTGTTGTTTTTGTGGCTTGGATTACATACCATCGGATTTACCCCCGGCCATCGACCATCTTCTGCTAGCCTACAACAAGTTGACCAGCCCAAACCTGACCCCAGGCGCCTTCTCCATCTACCCCAATCTTACCGTTCTACAGTTAGACACCAACTTTTTAACTTACTTACCAGACGACGTCTTCGAAGGCCTTGTCAAGCTTGAACAGCTTAATATATTTAACAACAGTATTTCACTGGACGCTCGCCTCAACTCATCTAATGTCTTCCTACCGCTTGCCGGCACGCTCAAAGTTTTAGTGATGAACGGAAACATCAAAACGAGTCCCGGTCTGAATTCCGTCTACCCCGACTACGCGCTGTCCTTTTTAACGGAACTGACGTCACTGACGATCGACGGCTTGAGAAACCCGGAGTTTAAACTCGGGTTCGGCAAACTTTCAAAGCTGATGAACCTCACCATGGTGGGCATGGGAGACGGTTTCTGCGATTTGCGAAGTTTGAGGAACTCCACGTTCCAACACCTGCCGCACCTGGTTCACCTGAACTTGACCCTGTGCAACCTCAACGGCTCACACGTCGAGTCGGGGGCCCTGGAAGGTTTGACCCAGTTAAAGCTGCTAGACATATCAAACAACCGTGACCTTGGTCTGGAGGCCGTCGGAAACCTCATGTACGGTATCCGGAACAATAAAAATTTCCGGTATTTAAAAATGCGAAAAATAAACTCCCGTTTTGCCGCGTGCGCGGTGGTGACCAATCAAACGGTCCGTTACTTGTCTAACACGAGCGTGGAGCTGATTGAGTCCATGGACAACGAGATCGAGATGGTCCAGCTTGGGGCGCTGAGGCTACTCCCACCCACCCTCACCACCCTCAACTTGACCAACAACAAGATCATGTTCGGCGCCTACTGGCAAGACATGGGCTGTCTGAAGAGCTTACAAAACCTCCACCTTGACGGCTACCTTCACCCTGTAGACTTCCCAAACTTCTACCCGTCCGCCGTTCTTCATTGCCGCGACACCGGCGACCTCTACGTCACAAGTGACGGCCCCGCATGCGCAGACTTCACATCCGGGGACGCGAAGAACAACAACTTCACCCTCATCTTACCACCGGAACTACGCACCTTGACGATGCACAGCAATTCGGTAGCGTACGCGGTGACAGAAATCAACATCAGCCCCAACAACTCTCTAGTCCACGCAGACCTGAGCGGCAACACTTTCCGCGAGCTGAAAGGTCCAGTCACGGGGCTTGACAAGCTGCAGTCGTTGAACCTCTCCAGCTGTTTCGTGCAGAACATCTCCGACACGTTTTTCAACACATTCCCCCTGTTACAAGAACTCATCCTCAGCGAGAATGTTCTAGGGGACCGGCTGAACGACGACGCCTATGGATTTATTTTTAGAAACCTAACCCGCGTTCATTTCCTGAACTTGTCTTCCAACAGTATTTACAGATTGAATTATCCCGCCTTTTCCGATCTTAACAACCTCCAAATTTTAGATCTATCCAACAACCGCCTCAGTAAAGTCAACTTCAGCATCGGCAACATGTGGAACCTAAGTTTACTCGACTTGCACAAGAACCATATCAACACCTTGCCGCAATTCATCATGGACCATATCTATGATCTTATGAAAGCCAAGATAAATATTTCCGTCGATTTACGGGAAAATCCGATTTCGTGCGACTGCGATAATTTGGATTTTCTCGAGTGGGTGGTTAAGAACAAAGTATTCGGGTCGAACTACACGCAGTATTACTGTAAGTATGACGTGGCCAACATGGACGCCGTAGAGAGGTTCTCGGGGTACGATGAAGAAATCAGAAAGCTCAAGTACAGGTGTGTGGCACACATCGGACTGCTCTTCTCGGTGCTGGGCGGGACTATACTAGTGCTAGCTGTCATCATGGGGCTCGTCGTCTATCGGTTCAGGTAAGTTCATCATGGGGCTCGTCGTCTATCGGTTCAGGTAAGTTCATCATGGGGCTCGTCGTCTATCGGTTCAGGTATGTTCATCATGGGGCTCGTCGTCTATCGGTTCAGGTATGTTCATCATGGGGCTCCTCGTCTATCGGTTCAGGTATGTTCATCATGGGGCTCGTCGTCTATCGGTTCAGGTAAGTCTTGAGTGATACCCATACTGAAAGGCAGTGTTTCTTTCAGATATTTATCTCCGGGGTGGGGGGGGGGGCGGACAGTAGTTAAAGTATATATTTAAATTAATTATATAATTTTGCTGTGTACGTCAAAAAAAAAAGGGGGGGGGGGGGTGTCAGTTCCTAAAAGAAACTAAAGGAAACAAAAACATTTTAAACATGCTACATAAAGTTTGGTTGCCTGAATTAAACGTAAAGGGAAAAAAATTCGCAACGGATAATTGCGCACAACAGATAGTGCGCAACAGGAGATTTTGTTTTTAAAGGTTTGTGGACAAAGTTTGTAAAATCTAGCATAATAAAACATTATACCACACAATATGACCAAATGAAACTGTTTAAGTGAAATGAGTATCTGCGCATTTATTTGTTTGCGTATTTTCCCGTTGCACTTTTTTGGTCACCAATTTAATAGCGAAACACAAAAAGTGGTAAACCTAAGACATTGAATACTACACAAAACAAAAGTAACTAACCGCATAATATAAAACCAAACACACACAACTTAAATATAAACACGGAAAAGTCAAAATAAAAAGATGCTCTTTCTGATGGTTAAAACTAATAGGGCATAAGAAGTAGAGTTCGCCTGTTTATCTGTGACCTCGACATTTAAAGGCGCTGTTTGGTCGGTTCTGTGTGCAGTCGTCATTTCTTACGATAACTCGAGTCAGGTACCCATCAGAGCTGGATGGAATCATGTATGTTCTGTCTGGTACTGTACCCCAACCACTTTGTCCCAAATAAACCGAAACAAGATTTTTTTTTAAATATGAAAAATAACAAAAACAAACAAAAACAAATAAAGTAGTCTGCTAGTTAAGCTTACGATTTGAAGCAAAGTTAACAACAAATAGATCATAGCCATTTGAAAAACAAGCGAATTTGACTTAGAAATTAGTAATATGTAGACTCATATCCTGTTTGGTGGTACTTAATTTAGTAGAGAACTTGTTAAGTAATCAAAGCATATTTTCGGAGATATGTTAAGTGGGTCAAAACACTGCTTTGAAATAATACATAACTGACTTCCCGCTAATTTTAACGATTCTTCATCGCCACTAAATACTAAAACCCTACAGTAGGTGGGAAGTACTAAACATACAGGTAGAACAACCCAGGTAAGACTGTAGACAGGGGCTGTGTCCAAAAGGCCCGGGAAATTTTAAAAGGGGTCCTTAACCCCGGCTTGAAATTTTCATAGTGCATTTTTTCTCAACCAGTCTGTATTGCGCGCCTTGGTATGACATAATTGTTTAAGTACCAACAATTTAAAAAATCAAAACACTAATAGGACTATTAGAGCACCGTTTATTGAGTTCACTGAGATATTTATCTGGAGGCCCACCGGGATTTTTCACAGTGGTCCGGTGGACCAGTCCACCCATGTCTGTAGACATCGTGAAGACAGGGGTGGCAGCAGGCTAGGTGTTGATGTTTTATCTGTTAGCATGCTGTATTTTGTTTTATTACGTAACTTGACAGCTTTTGACCTTTACCCTTGTCTGACCCCCCAGATGGACCCTCCGGTACTGGTACCACGCTGCCAAGATGAAGTTCTATTCAAACAAAATTCTGGAGAACGACAAGTTTGAATATGATGTCTTCATCAGCTACGAAAATGGCGACACGGATTTCGTCTTGCAGGTCTGCAACTTTCTTTTGGTATTTTAAGTGACTTGACACCGGTGTATGTTGTTTTTGTTTCACGGAGTACAAGTGACGTTATACCGGTAGAGATTTATTTGGTGTGTAGAAGTGACCGTTAGAGGCTTGTGTGTGGTGTGGAGTATAAGTGAGGTTACACAGGTAGAGGTTAGTGTGGTGTGTAGAAGTAACGTTACACCGGTAGAGGCTTGTGTGTGTAGTAAAATTGACGTTACACCGGTAGTGGTTTGTGTGTGAGAGTAAAAGTGACGTTACACCGGTAGGGGTTTGTGTGGTATGTAAAAGTGACGTTACACCGGTAGAACAGTGTTTCTTCCAGACTTTTTTCTCCGGGGGGGGGGGGGGCGCTTGAAATTTTCGGGGGGGGGGGGGGGGGGGGCGGACACTGTTAAAAGTATATATTTTCTATTTACATGTCATTTCGTCCGGGGGGTGGTAGCCTTTCGGCGAGGTGGGGGGGCGGAGCCCCCCCCCCCCCCCCCCCCGAAGAGATGCCTGGAAGAAACTCTGCGGTAGAAGTTTGTGTAGAAGTGACGTTACACCGGTAGAGGTTTGTGTGTGACGTAGAGCAGAAGTAAAGATACACCAGTTTATATTTTATGTTGGGGCGCGGTGTCAGCTGATAAAGCTACTGTATACACAGGAAGTTCTTATCTCCACTCGATGACATCCGGGTGGTATCTCGATTACACCATATCCAGAAGGAATGTCCCTATGCGACGTCACTGAAAAATAGCGGAAGTTGGATCTCGAGATAAATTGTTTACTGAATTATGGATTATTAAACTAATTTCAAATAAAGTCTTTTACAAAGAGGTCCCGGATATATGTCTTGGCGTAGACGCTCATCGTCTTTTCTCGTTCATGCCCAAGACACGTGGGGCAGATAAAGTAGAGTTCACCTGTTTCAATGACTTGGACATTGTGGTCAGCTTTAAGCCATTCCGCTTTAGTTTCCCTAACGTAAGTCAGGTACTCATCAGAGTTGAGCGAACTCAGGGATGTCCATTAGACTTCAGCCTGGCATCCGAACTCGAGACTTTTAGGTTAGCAGTCGGAAGCTCTACCGTCCGACCACTCCGTACCATACGTTTTATGATTGTATGAGTAAATAATTGTAAGCGTTACCCTCTCTGAGTGGCCAACAGGGCAGATGAAGTAGAAGTCTCCTAGTTCCGTGACCTCGGCATAGAAATGGACATAATGGTCAGTTCTATGATAAACAGCCTTTAATTTCCAAAGCGGGATCCGAACTCGAGACTTTCGTGTTAGCAATCATGTGTTCTATTGTCCGTATACAACAATATACACAATTATAAGTTTGGTTTCTATTTAAATACATCCAAGTAATTAATTAAACAATTTTCTAATCAAACAACTACAAGTAATTAACTCCACCCCCTCTTCTTCCGTCTCCAGGAGATCCGAACCCAGCTGAGGGATGAAAGAAACATCCGTCTACTGATTCACGGGGAGAAGTTCCAGGTGGGGAGGCAGATAGCAGACAACATTTACATGGCAGTCCGTCAATGTCGCAAGACGTTAGTGGTGGTCAGCAGGAAGATGTTGAGTAGTCATTGGTGTATATACGAGCTGCAGGTGAGTAGTCATTGGTGCATGTATGAGTTGTAGGTGAGTAGTCACTGGTGTATATACGAGCTGCAGGTTAGTAGTCACTGGTGTATGTACGAGCTGCAGGTGAGTCAATGGTGCATATACGATTTACAGGTGAGTGATTGGTGTATATACGAGCTGCAGGTGAGTCAATGGTGCATATACGAGTTACAGGTGAGTGATTGGTGTATATACGAGCTGCAGGTGAGTCAATGGTGCATATACGAGTTACAGGTGAGTCAATGGTGCATATACGAGCTGCAGGTGAGTTAGTGGTGCATGTATGAGTTACAGGTGAGTCACTGGTGCATGCATTAGTTACAGGTAAGTCACTGGTGCATGCATTAGTTACAGGTAAGTCACTGGTGCATGCATTAGTTACAGGTAAGTCACTGGTGCATGCATTAGTTACAGGTAAGTCACTGGTGCATGCATTAGTTACAGGTAAGTCACTGGTGCATGTATTAGTTCCCATTGTTTTCAACTTCCATATCAAGAGATGTTCTTCTAAAAATCCCTCTATTTATCAACTTGCCCTATCAACGGATGTTAAGCTTGAATTCCTCTATGTATCATCTTACTCTCTCAACAGATGGCCAGACTTGAATCGGTCAATACTGGACGGAACGTCTTAATTTTTTTCTTCATGGAAGAAATCCCCAAGTCAGAGATGAGCATGGACGTGCTGTCCTACATCAAGTCCAGCACCTACATCGTGTACCCCAGATATCCGCAGCATCGCAGGGCATTCTGGGACAAGTTGGCAGACGACATCCGGTCCAGGTGACCGACCTTGACCCGACGCGTATACAGATGTAGCATATCCACGTTATCCATCAGACCGTTTAGGTCCATTGTGTATCCAGTATATCCGTCGCACCGCTGTGCATTATGGGAAAATTTTACAGACTACGTGAGGTCAAGGTGTGTGACCTAACGTAGCCTTTTCATAAAGGTAGCCCGATGCTGTACTGAATTGTGGGACGGGCTACCAAACGACATAACACCGTCCTAACCATTTTCACCCCATCGTTCAACACTATTACATATGATCTACCTCTTGGCAGTCCGCAGACAAATTTGCCAATGATAACAGGTCAACATGACCTAAGGAACAACGTTTTTAACTGACGCTGACAATATAGCATGTCACGTTGACACTAACGCTAGTCAAGGCTGACAGCCATATGCCGGTGACCCTGCTAAAAATAGCCCAATGTGTTAGAGGCAGTGATGCAGTTGTTAACGTAACACATGTGTATACAAGTAGGCTACACTGTTCGTTGTTTACAGTAAAAAAAATGTTATAAATAGCACGTTCTGCCATCGCCACACACTTAATTGGATTACTCCCCTTAACAATGGTGGAGGTTTTGTGAACAAAATAATATAGCATTGGTGTATCTGTAAATTGTAGTTAAATTGATGTATCAGTAAATTGTAGTTTTATAGCATTGATGTGTCTGTAAATTTTAGTTTTATAATATTGATATATCTGTAAGTTGTAGATTTATATATTGACGTATCTGTAAATTGTAGTTTTATAAATTGATATATCTGTAAATTGTAGTTTTATAAATTGGTGTATCTGTAAATTTTGACAGTAATGATTTACCTGTAAATTTTAGTTTTACAACATTGATGTATCTGTAAATTGCAGTTTTATAACATTAACTGTAAATTGTATACCGTTAAGTCAATTTGATGTAAATGTTATTTTGTAGGTCAGTTATACAGTAACGTGTGTTTGTGAACAATTAACTACACATGTAATAATAGTAATACTAGTGCCGTTAAAGTACGAAGCACATCCTTATAGACAAGGCTGACAAATGTTGACCATCAAGGGAGATAAGTCAAACAAAACATAGAAAACAATGGACTCCTTTTATCTCCCTTATTTATTAAGAACAAAATAACACAGCAAATTAAACCAAAAGCTTAGTCCAAAAAGATATAACTTATTCCATATACTTGAATTTAAGCATGAGATGTCGCTTACGTTAAAACTCGTATGCTCAATGATGAAGTACTTAACCAATCGAATAGTTTACTCGAACATTTTTCTCGATAGCGGCTATTCTATTGCGCTCTAGGCGAAACACATATACAAAAGATGCACAATTTACAAAGTTAAAAATGTCACTTAGAAAACCGAAACGATGTTAAAATTTTCCTAAATGTAACAGAGTGAACCACAAGTTTAGATTCATGTGATAACAATCTCGGGAATTTTAAACAGTACAGTAACATGAAAATTAAAATTAAAAAGTTTGATGTGTCGAATATAATAATTGTTTTTGCGACCTGAGATTAATTAGTAGAATGTAAAAATCCATATGACAATATAAATCTATCGATTCCTAATTAACAAGAGTACTCCATCAAGCAAGATTTACCCAATTAAAACAATTAAAAGAATAATTATAAACTCGAGGAGCGGCATGAGGTAATTATCCAAAACCAGCGGTGTAATCTCTGACACCCAATTGGATGTTTAGCTAGTTATAATTAAAGTTTGTTTGCATGTTTTTTTATTTCTAGAGGGGCTTACGTGAAGCAAGTGAAACATATTCAATGAAATAAACATGACAATTAGATCAGACTGGCTCCCAGGTTTAAGCAAACTTTCCTTGTGAGATGGCAATAGATTTTTGTTAATTGGACATCGGAAAAATAATATAGAAAATTAGAATTTATTGAAAGTTTACTTAAGACGCTGGAATTAAATAAACTTGAATAAGATTGATTGATTTCAAAAACTTAGTTTGGTTTATATTTATTCGACCTTCAAGCAGTAGATTTCTAGATGGCTGTTCTGTTGAGTTACAAGTTAATTTGAGACATTTGTCTGTCTACAGGTTGTTTTGGTCCGTCAAGTTTAAAATATGAGGTTTTCGTCAAGTATTGGAGATATGTATGGGAGAAAAACATTTTTTAATAACTACAATAACTTATCTAATGGACTGTCTGATAAAAACTAAAGTAACACATAAAACAGGTTCTGGTGATAACTAATGTAACAAATATAACGGGTGACTAAAATTAACATTTTGATGATAAGTAATATTGTTCATATGTCATAATAATGAGTGACTAAAGTAACTATTCTAATATGTAGTCATGACAATTAAACTAACATTTCTAATAATAATATGTACTAATTTCTAATACACCTTGTTTTTAACTAATGTAACATTTCTACTGTTGACTAAAGTAACATTTCCAATATGTGCTGATGATGCCTAAAGTAACAGATATAGATTCTACATGGTATTGCGGAACACAAAAACGAAACATGGCATAAGATTTAAAAAATCCAGCATAACACACTAACGGAACGTATAGTATAAATACAATCACTATAGTATGTCGGCGGTGTATTTGGTAAAGGTGAGGGGCACTCACTAACTGATATTGCTAATAACTAAAGAAATATCCACATTGAAAATAAACATTGATCAACAACCGGGCTAGGCCAGGTACCTACAATGGCCGACCAGAACCGCTTGCTAAACGATCACAACGCCACGGTGCGGCCAGACAGCCCGGCAGCACACACCAACGACTTGATCTACCTAGACGACGACCAGACCCTCTACATCCTCCGTGCCCTCATGCTCGGCGCCACGCCCACCATCTCCGTCTTCGGCATCATCGGCAACATCTTCAGCATCATCATCCTCAGGAAACACGGACTCCGGAAGTGCTCGAACATCCTGCTCTTCTCCCTGGCCGTGAGCGATCTCACCTTCCTCGTCGGCTTCAACAGCGTGCCCAAACTCCTCTACGAGATCGTGGGAGACGTGGAAGGGTTCCGCTACTCGTACGTCGAGTCCTACGTGCTCTTCGTGTTCTACCACGTGTTCCACATCGTGGACTACGCCTCCGGGGGAACGTCCTTGACCCTACCGATGCTGATCACCTTCGAGCGCGTGGTCGCCGTGTTCCGGCCGTTGCAGTTTCATACGATCGTCACCCCGCGCCGTACCTGGGCGGCCGTGGTATTTGTGTTCGCTTTCTGGTACACGTATTTCATCCATACCTCTTTTTTCGTGACGCTCAGCTATGAAATGAACCCGGTTTTGAACCAATCCATCGGGCTTTTAGCCCGATCCGCCTACCACTACGCCAACCCCCAAAACGCAGTAATCCTAGAAGACGTAATGTCGTACCTCATGATGAAAATACCCCCGGCTGTCACTTTCCTCGGCTGTCTTATCATCGGTATCCGGGTTCGAATCGCTTCCAGCAGGAGACAAAAAATGACGTCACAAACGTCAAAAGAAGCTTCTAGCAACCGGACGACCAAGATGTTGCTTGCCGTCTGCTCCGTGTACACCGTAGCATGCGGCATCCTGTCGCTGCCGACCTACATCCCCCAGTACATGTACTACACCATGACGAGTGACGCCCCCTCCAACTTCGGCAAGATCATGTATCAGGTCATCAACATTGTCGTCTGCATCAACAGCTCCGTCAACTTCGTCGTGTACGTGGCCATGAATAAAAACTTTAGAACCACTTACAAGTCGCTCTTTACCAGACAGGTTAAAAATAATTCCCTACCTCCAGTGTCACAGGTTAAAAAGTAAATCCCTTCCCCCACTGTCCCATGTTAAAAGTAAATCCCTTCCCCCACTGTCCCATGTTAAAAAGTAAATCCCTTTCCCCAGTGTCCCATGTTAAAAGTAAATCCCTTCCCCCACTGTCCCATGTTAAAATGTAAATCCCTTCCTCCACTGTCCCATGTTAAAAAGTAAATCCCTTCCCCCACTGTCCCATGTTAAAAAGTAAATCCCTTCCCCCACTGTCCCATGTTAAAAAGTAAATCCCTTCCCCCACTGTCCCAGGTTAAAAAGTAAATCCCTTCCGCCACTGTCCAATGTTAAAAAGTAAATCCCTTTCTCAAGTGTCCCATGTTAAAAAGTAAATCCCTTCCCCCACTGTCCCATGTTAAAGAGTAAATCCCTTCCCCCACTGTCCCATGTTAAAAAGTAAATCCCTTACTCCACTGTCCCATGTTAAAAAGTAAATCCCTTACTCCACTGTCCCAGGTTAAAAAGTAAAGCACCGCCTTCATTATCCGACACAGAAAATGTTCGCTGCCAAAATAAATTATTTGATAGAACATTCACACGCCTAATAATGTTTTCTCTTGCCTATCATAGCCCTAAGTTTCATGTTTTCCTGTGTTTAATATTGACAAAAGATTCCTATATTTCTGCGTCTATCACTGTTTTGTCTTTCACTTATGTGCATCCTGAGTAAGTAAAGTTTCCTTTTAGACATGAAGGTCAATAGAGTAGATGAAGTAGAGTTCATCTGTATGTCGACATTTGAAATGATTGTGTACACACTGCAGTACTCTTTACACTCACCGTCTCCAAGAAAGTACCCAGCAGAAGTTGAAAACCTAACTCACGACTAACGACTCACTAGCAGACGATCGGCGTATGTGTAGCACCGGATGCTTGGAATCACAGATGACCATACGAAACTGGGACAGGCATTAATGACCTGAAGGTTCCATTCATGTACGGGAACATTAAGAGATCAGTGAATTCTTCACATGGGAATTTGTACAGTACTCTATATAGCACTCTCTTTGCAGTGTATATATATATATATATATATATATATATATATATATATATATATATATATATATATATATATATATATATATATATATATATATACATATATATATATATATATATATACATATATATATATATATATATATATATATATATATATATATATATATATATATATATATATATATATATATATATATAGATATATATATATTTATTTATATATATATATACACACACAAGAAACACAAAAACAAAAGTTATATATTTTTTAATATGAAGGAAAACCCATAGAAACACACAACAGGGCACACCATTGGCATGGCACGAAACACGACAACATTATGTAAAAGCCCGCATCACAGTTAAATCAAACCATATCTTACACTACACGTCAATGTGGCAAGGTTAACCCTGGTCACATGATCATGTACACTGTTGTCATAATATCGAACATTACTTTCGTACCAGCAATTTTACAAGTAAAATAAACCGGGAGTGATCTCCCCTAAATTTTTTTCGAAAATTCTTATATAACGCTAAGGGAAATGGCAACTCGGGATATAGACATGATTTTTAATCCATTTTTAATTACTTATAGGCAGAAAATTAGATCTTTTACTTACATGTGAAATTTTATTAATCTATCTGAAACAGTACTCAAGCTATAGGCATTTGAACAATTGAAAGTAGAAAAAGTTCCACTTTCGTTTACCGGAAATCGCTAAAAAGTTGATACACAACTACAAATTTGTTATAATACTTATATATGAAATTTCATCAACCTAACTGTAACGGTACTCAAGTTATCGTGTTCACAGACACATATACACACATACACATGCACACTGACACACAGACATACGGACACGATTGTAAAAAAAATGTTTATCCGAAACAGGGAGGTGTAAAACGTCGATATTTACAAAGATCTCGATTTTTTGTACGATTACAATAACTTTCTCTATACTTCGTTTACGAGAAAGTAAAAATATACGTTTGGTATTCATGTGTTTAGGGCTGCCTTGACTCAAACCCAATTACTGTAATCCAGGTATTTTTTGTGTTCATATTTTCACACTAAAAATTGACTCAAACCAAATTACTGTAATCCAGGTATTTTTTGTGTTCATATTTTCACACTAAAAATTGACTCAAACCAAATTACTGTAATCCAGGTATTTTTTGTGTTCATATTTTCACACTAAAAATTGACTCAAACCAAATTACTGTAATCCAGGTATTTTTTGTGTTCATATTTTCACACTAAAAATTGACTCAAACCAAATTACTGTAATCCAGGTATTTTTTGTGTTCATATTTTCACACTAAAAATTGACTCAAACCAAATTACTGTAATCCAGGTATTTTTTGTGTTCATATTTTCACACTAAAAATTACGTTTTACTGAATAAGTTTCTGATAAACAAGTGATAAATGTGAAATATTTAGGTGAAAATATCGACGAGAATATACATCATCTGCTGTCAACCTTCACATAAACACGGATTATAAGTGTACGACGCGATGGCATTAATAGAAACTTAAGACCTGAGATAAGCCGGTCTTAAGCCGTGTGTATACAGCTGCAAGGCCGAATGTCTAATTACAATTAAGCAGCTGGCGCTTAATTACTATAATTTCTATAAAACTCAAGCTGACACTGTGTCAATGTATTTATAATTAGCTACAGCTAGGCGTATCCTAGCGGTAGAGCGCTAGACTGCTAACCCGAAAGTTTCGAGTTTGTATCCGGGATCACGTCAGTTAAACGTCCCTGCGTCCACCCAGCTCTGATGGACCGTCAGGCACGAAATGGGAACTTTTTTTACTGCGTCATTATAAAATTAGTAAAAATCAGTAAAATAATCTGTAAATATAATTTGACCGTTGGCGCGTCTCTGCAGTAACAATTAGCCGGCTACTGCGTCATTTTGTATTATAATTAGCCGGCTACTGCGTTATTTTGTATTACAATTAGCCGGCTACTTCGTCACTGACCCAACTCCAAAATCAAACAACTGCTGCCTTGTAGTTTGTTCTTGGTTGGACAAAGGCTATGGAAGCAAATCCATAAAGAAAAGCAGGCTGAAATCTGAGTCAATGGCCTCAATGGCGCTTAACCCTGTATAACAAAAAAACAACAACAATAAATAAATAAAAAAAAAACGAAACAAAAAACAATCGGCTACTACTGCGTCATGTCATTGTCAGATGTATAGAAACCAAACTGTTGCCGAACATTTTGTGCGAGTTTAATTGACAACAAACAGGCTTCTGCAGCTTGACATAGATCATAATAAAACGTCGTTAAACCCCCACATTTTTATGTATTAAAATTCTGTTGACATCGCTCTCTCCATTCAATTGGGGATGTTATAAAAGTCAGCTCACAAAAAACACTTCACACTACATGAAAGAAACAGGACAGCTCATCTGCCATGACTCAGCTATCAGTACTCAGCATCCTGGCAGTGATATTGTTTTCGTTGAGTCTGATAGTGGCTGAAGGTTAGTCAATTTCTTTTTAAATGGCTTCCCTTAGGATTGTGGTTAGAGTTATTTCCCTTGGGACTGTTAAGATCGTATCATACTAATATTATAATTTCACTTACTTAGGAAAAGAAACCAAGATTTTTTTTCGATATGTTTTTAGTAGGACAAATTAGAATTCAGATAAGTCACTTGACTGAGGGTCATTGAGAAATTGTTTAATTTCGAGATAAACCGACGCTAGAATCGCAGAGCTAAAGCTCTTTGGCTGCGAAACGCTAACTCTGAAGTTTATTTTCGAGACAAGTGGCTAGTCTCATGTAAAGTTAAGTAAAGTAGAACTATTCGTTTCGGCGCTGGTTGAAATTTATATATATATATATATATATATATATATATATATATATATATATATATATATATATATATATATATATATATATATATATATATATATATATATATATATATATATATATATATATATATATATATATATATATATATATATAGGTAACAGGGCATTTCCCCCCTGTCAATTACCCCCCGGATATTTCCCCCCCCGACATTACCCCCCAGAGTAATTACCCCCCTGTCAATTACCCCCCTGTCAATTACCCCCCGCCCAGTAGGACATTACCCCCCCCCCCCCGCCCCCCGGACAGGGTTAGAGTTAGGGTTAGGGTTAGGGTTAGGGTTAGGGTTAGCGTTAGGGTTAGGGTTAGGGTTAGGTTTTAGGGCTAGGGTTAGGGCTAGGGTTAGGGCTAGGGTTAGGGTTAGGGTTAAGTTTTAGGGCTAGAGTTAGGGCTAGGGTTAGGGTTAGGTTTTAGGGCTAGGGCTAGGTTTAGGTTTAGGTTTAGGGTTAGGTTTAGAGTTAGGGCTAGGGCTAGGGTTAGGTTTAAGGTTAGGGTTAGGGTTGTGTCTAGCTTTGGTTTTGGTTTTGTGTGAAGTTTTAGGCTAAGGTGGATGCTTAGGTTTTGGTCTTTTTCTTAAGGTTTGGATTAAAGTAGTATATAGGGATAAAATTCTAGTTAGAGTTAAGATTTTAACTTGAGGGGGGGGGGGGGTAATTCCCCCGGGGGGGGGGGGGTTATTGACAGGGGGGTAATTGACATGGGGGTAATTGCTCCGGGGGGTAAATACGGGGGGGGGGGGGAAATGTCCGGGGGGGAAATATCCAGGGGGGTAATGTCCTGTAGCCATATATATATATATATATATATATATATATATATATATATATATATATATATATATATATATATATATATATATATATATATATATATATATATATATATTATATATATATATTATATATATATATATATATATATATATATATATATATATATATTATATATATATATATTATATATATATATATATATATATATATATATATATATATATATATATATATATATATATACATATATATATATATAAATTGAATAATTTTCAACACTGAAAAGGCTCTCAACAAATGACGATTTAAG